CTCTAAATTCTCTACAGTTAAAAGAGGCGTGCCTCAGGGATCATTGCTGGGACCCAAATGGTTTGTACTTTATGGAAATAACCTCTTTTAATACAGAGGTTATTAAAAACTCGTACCACCTGAGTACATTCGTGATGTGAGCCACTATCAGTGTACTGATGACTTGGATTTTATTGTCAAGATAATAGGTAGCATGGCCGAGTGGGTGATAATCTGCTTTTCACTTTAAATAACAGAAGCATAGAAAGTTTGAGCAATGTAAGATTCTTGGCCTTTTCTTTCACAGTTGCTTAACTTGGAAAACGCATATTAAATACAAGAGAAATAACTACAATATGCTATCTAACGTATGACCTAAAATATCAAATTTCCTTGATGGTAAAAAATACAACAACAAATGGCAGTAAAAATGCGATATTTGGCTTGGATGGGAATGTATTCCTGTTTCAAAAGGCCTGACCAAATTGTATTAACCTCTGATTTACCTATGAGAACCTCCTTCTAGGTGGGAGTTAAGAGATAATTATTGACTAAATGTCAGACCTAAGCACTTGTAAGAATGAACCACTTTAATCTCTTGATCTTAAAAAAAACGAACTTTCTCTGGAGGCAATTCTACCACTTTTGCGAAAAATTATGATCTGTGAGTTTGAAAGGTTTGTTGAGTGACTGAGTCACAATATGTCACCAACAAACATTACATTGCAAGAGGGTCGTCTGCAACTGAAATTACATCACTTTATAAGAGGACCTTAAACCATACGGCCCACACACTCAAATGCTAAAGAAAGATCATCTAAAAAAAGTGCAAAAACTAAAGGACTCAGTACGCCACCTTGCCTAACTCCACAAAGAACCTCGAAACACTCTGTAACAGTAATTACGGAATTTTTTCTAACTGAATATGTTTTTAACAATAATACTAGAGTTTATATTAGAGTAATTTTATCTGCGTCCATGCGAGCCAAATGTAAGCGAGAGTGTCTTAAGGCCGCCTAGTTTGGTTGTTAATCTTGACTCTATTGAGCTATTAAAAAATTTTAACGAGTTTTTAACCAACCTGAAAGTGATTTTTAATTGCTTTGATAATTGGATAAATTTTAATCAAAGCTAATACTTCTCAAGTATCACGATGTGACATGTAGTACTGAGGGAGAAGGGACGCCAAATAAACCTACATTAACCGGAGGGGTGACTTCTTCCCGAAAATGTCACGGTCATTTGGTGAGCTTGGAGGGGAATCCTTTACGACCAAGAACTTCCTGAAAATGAACATTCCATCAAATATGCTCCGGTTGGTTTTTTTTTTTTTGTTGCCCTGGCTTGACAAATCTGCAGTTGTCACATCATTTCAGACAGTGAAATTCTCTTTTGAACAAGACAAATTAAATGCACTAAATATCATGAAAACTTAACTTTTTTGTTACTGAGACAGCAAAATTTGAAGATTTGCTTGAAAAAAATGAACATCCACATCCATGAAATTATCTTTTGGACAGTACCAATTAACTGTACGTATCATGAAAACTGCTAAAGTGATTTGGATCTGTTTACGTCCAATTCAGCTTAAGACCACTTTTTCGTAACTGACAAGGCAAAATTTGATGCTTTGGCATAAAAAGGTTCATTTTTATCACATCCATGAAATATCTTTTAGATAGTACGAATTAAATGTACCTATCATGAAAACTGCTAAAGTGATCTGGATCTGTTTACGTCCATCTCAGTATGAGATTCCTTTTTCGTCACTGATAAGGCAAAATGTGTTGTTTTGGCTTAAAAAAAGTTCATTCTTATCACATCCATGAAATTATATTTTGAACAGAACCAATTAAATCTATCTTAAAAACTGTCGGAGTGACTTGGAACGAGTTGTTTTGTTTACCTCCTGGACAGCTTAAGATTATTCAAATTCGTATCCTTTTACATCTTTGTCTTCAAAGCTTCAGCATTTCCCTTATTAATTTGTCGTTTTGTATAAAAGACAAATAGAATAGCTGTCTGATGTAAGAATTCGCGTAGGACAATAATCTGTGTGTCAAGTCGGGCACAGTTGGCTGAGAGAGTTCATGAACTGTTCACAATCGTTTTAAAGATCATCTCCATGTCCGCTTATCTTCGCCAATTACGCGATGATTTGATGAAGGCGGACACGTCCACGTTGGTCCGAGTAGTACAAAAACAGTGAAATACACAATTCAACTCAAATCTTCGGACGTAAATCACTTTCAAAGCATTTTTTTTCACTATTATTAAACTTTAACGAATACTTGTTATTATTGAGCATCTATGTATTTTTGAAGTTTATTGTTGTTTTTAATTAAATAATAAACCGTCTTAAGACCAATTAAGTTTCGTAGATTATAAGTTCTAGAGTTATTGGCTCCTATTTCTAATGTTTCCAAGATTCCAAGATAAAATATGTCAAACATAAGACAATGCTATTCTCAACCGTAATTTACAGTTTATTTTTAAGACATGTAGATATGTATGTATGTAAAAATCGGAAGAGATTTTGAGCTGATATTGAATTGGAATTATTGAATCATAAATCCTTGTGCCTGGCTTAACCCTAATGATTAAATGTTTGCACAGTGACATTTTGTGGGCGTAAAGTTGGTAGCCGTTTTAAATCTGTTATGGCTTTGACCTGATTTTTGTCTTTTGTTTTAATCATTACAAGCTAGTAGGAGCCGAAGCCAGAGGACTTCAGAAGGAATAAACGACAAGGACCTTCTTCAAGCGGATGGTATAACGTCCCTGCGAAAATTTTTACTTTCTAAGTTAAAATAAGGGTGAATTTCAGTATATAAATATTCCACATTTTGTAAACGTCCAATGTTTACAAATAGAGAAATCACATGGAGTACTTGGTAGAAAATTACTATGAAATATTACGGCTTTTCAGTGAGAAGTACAGGTTGGATACGATCAAAGTTTTATTGAAAAATGTACCATAAACTTTAAGAAGACGCGAATAGCTCTAGTAATTTGATCGCTGGTATTGGCATCCTTGTTCCTAAAAGAGAAGAAACCCCTAAGGTGAATGTAATAGGTGATCTTTGGCTTCAAATTAAGCTAGTACCAATCAATTGAGATGAAGACTGATAGTCCGCTATATACTGGGCTTTCTCAGTTTTCCTTCCCACCTGGAGGGTGTCCTTTTTAGATGACCCGGTTGAATTTCTCTTGAAAAAATTATACAGGTGACCTCAGGCCCAGTTCAACTTCAAAATTTCAAATAGGCCCTATACATCCTGTTCATTGTAAAGGATAAATTATGCTGAAAACAATGGTGCAATCGGATTTTAAATTGGTCAATAAATGACAAAGTTATGACAAAAAGTTTGAAAAAAACCGGTCATTTGGTTTGCTATTTATTAATCACATTTCATGTTCGATCTGCCTGCCTTGCGTAAAAATGCAAAGATTGCTGATTTGCTCTTTTTTAACCTCTCTTCACCGGTGCTCAGAGCGACAGAGTCACGAGAGACGGATTGACAAGCATTTTCTATCCTTTGCCGCAGGGTGTAGGGTTATGATTGGAGTAGACACTGTTTTTTAAATGGCCCTACTGAAAATCAAGTGGAGTTAAATCGGGTGACCGAGGAGGGCAGCTGATCGGGCCATGAGGTTCTATCCACCTATCCCAGAAGCGACGATTCAAATAATGTCTCACCTGCAAAGAATCGTGTTCGGGGCATCCATCAAGCTGGATTCTTAGTCGTTGTTGTAGAGGAACATCATCTAGTGTTGGTAAAACCAAGAATATATAGGATGTAGGGAAGAACGTTTTCTTCAGCCTCCGAAATCGACATTTGTGCAAGGAACGTTAGACGCCTTTTGTCATCAGAGTCCCGAACTTAAAATTCTAAGTCCGGCGTACATCTCTAATTTTACTTTTTTGAAAAACCTAAAACCCTTCCAACATTTCGGAGAGAGGAATTCGGATTTTCGCGAACCAATAGTAAAATATTCAGCTCCTAGTCGAAATTACTCTGCCGGTTTCTTAGTGATGGATCAGCAAAGGATCCGTATCTCATCGTGTTTCTAGCAACACGAATAAACGTTTTGTGGTTTACTCTGGGGCGCGCAGTACCACCGCTATCAATAAAGCAGTCGTGCATATCAAATCGCAAATTAATAGAAATGATAAATGATGGAGTGAGTTTGTTGTTAAATCTTTTTAGAAAGATAGTTCCTACTCACAGTTAGTGGTTTTCGACAATCGGGATTTCAAGCATTTAGCTCATCATCAGTGTAAATTCCTTCAACCTAATGATGAGCTATAAGCTTGAAATCCGGATCATTGAAAACAACTAACTGTGAGTAGGAACTATCTTTCTAAAAAGATATCAACTCAGATCGGGAAAATATGCTCTTCGGTTCATTTTGAATGGAATATTGAATGTAACCATTATGTACTATTGTAAAAGTTATTTATTTCCAGGAATTAAAATTTGCTCTCATAATGCAAGTTTGACAAACAATTACAGAATGTAAACAAAGGCAATTAATGTTAGTAGGTAACTTTAGTAAAGAATCAAATTATCGGAATTAACAAGGAAACAACCGAAATGCGTTTTTTCAAACTTTTTGCCACAACTTTGTCATTTTTTGACCAATTTAAAATCCGATTGCACCATTTTCATCGTAAAAAAATCCTTTAAAATGATGTGTCAGGATATATACGGGTCGTATTTGAAATTTTGAAGTTGAACTGAGCCTGAGGTACCCTGTATAATTTTTCTCCAAAAAAGGTAAAAATTTGAAACTAGACTAAAAAATATTAAACACCTATTTATTTTTTATAGCGCCATTGGTTCAAAAATAATTCAGCTGGGCGATCTAAAAAGGACACCCTATATATATAATGAAGAGATGTGTTTGGTCTAAAGAAAATCATTATTTTTGTCTAGTAAAATTAAGTATACAGTTGTGCATTTGAGTGACGATGAATAAAATCTCAATTTCATATGATTTTTGATAAACAAATAAAAACTTTAAAACATGACAAATGTTAATCTAAACAGGGCATTTAATTGGTGTGTGTTAAAAAAGTAGGTCAGACCGAAAGAGTAAAATTCGAGTGCCAAGGTGGGTGGGACGGGGAAGTCGCGAGGTCCGTGACATTGGCTGGAGAGAGTATAAATTGAAAGTAGTGGGAGAATGAGAGGCCAGTATCAGTCAGCGTTTCGAGTTGTGCAGTTGTTAGTTTATGTGTCAAGTGTAAAGGCAGAATGCCGTCGGAATCGGACAGTCACGTGGAAGTGGACGTGGATGTGGATGTGGACAAGAGCAAACCCGTCCAGCATCAGACGATAATACACTCGGACACTAAAGACAGTTTGTCGTCGGTTGAGAGCGGTCCGAGAGAAGGCGACAACAAATCGGATCACGGTGACATATCGGATAATGCGTCTGACGATCAGCCCACAAAGCCGAAAGGAGAGAAAACCTCGGAGGAAGAGAACGATTTCGTCCCGCCAGACGAAGAACTGGTCCAGAAGATAATCGACCAAGTTGAGTTTTATTTTTCCGACGTGAACATCACGAAAGACGCTTTTCTGTTGAAACACGTTAAACGCAACAAAGAGGGCTACGTCTCTCTGAAACTGATTTCGAGCTTTAAACGAGTGAAGCACTTGGCCAAAGACTGGAGGGTCATCGCTTTCGCGCTCGCAAAGTCGAAAAAGTTGGAAATAAACGAAGCCGGCACGAAACTGCGTCGGGTCGATCCTCTGCCGGCTTACGACCAGACGACACCGTCGAGGACCGTAGTCGCCATCGACTTGCCCTTCGAAAAGCCGACCATCGAATCCGTGGCCGAGATGTTCAAGTCGTGCGGGGAAATCGCGCTCATCCGCATACTGCGGCCTGGAAACCCCATACCGTCGGACGTGAGGCACTTCGTCAACAAACACCCCGAGATGATCGGGAAGGTGAGCGCTCTGGTCGAGTTCGTCAGGACCGAGTCCGCACATAACGCCATACAAAAAGAATGGAGCTGGAGGCAAAGCGACATCAAAGTCATAGAGCTCAACGCTCCACCTTCCGTCGACCGCAAGTCCAAGTTGAAAAAAGGAGGTAACAACAGATCTTTCGATTTGGACTATTCCTCCTCTTGTGCGAGCAGTTCCGAAACCGAAGACAGGAGGCTCAGGCTGCAAAGGCGTTGCTCTTCGCCGCACCTCGTGGACAACCACTGGCACCAGAGGAGATGGTCGAGGGACTCCGGCACCGACAGTTCGAGCTCTTATTACAGATCCAGATCGAACAGCGGCGTCTTCTTCATGCCCGACGTCAGAAGGATGTCTAGCGACTCGTGCAGCGACAGTTACAGCTCGAGGTCCAGGTCCAACAGCGGTATATCCCTGTCTGACATCAGGAGGCTGTCTATCATCAGCAAAGATTCGGATTGTTGTTGTTGTCACATGGACTGTTCAAGAAGAAGCTCTCTCGCCAACGATTCCGGCTCCGAAGGATACGGCTCCTCCAGGTCCAGGTGCAACAGCAACGCTTCCGACCTCAGGAGAAATTCAATGGAGTTCTATTGCGCAGGCAAAATGAGGGAGAGGAAACTTCAAGACGGCTACTGGAGCAACAGCGTCGAATCCGGACGCCGCCCTTCCGGTCCTCGAGAGCAAGATTTGGAAAGGTTCAAAGTCCGCGGAACGGACAACGTCGTCCGTATGCCCAGGGGACCCGACGGAGGCAGAGGATTCGTACCCGCTCAACAAGCCTGCCATACTCTTATCGAATAACCGCTCAACAAAGATATTCGAATCGATCCCTTTTTTGTGTCATTCCTAAATTGTATAAATTTATATTATAAATTTGCCATCGTTCAGTACATACAAACATAGGACCCAATGGCAATCGTTTTTCTCCACATCAAATATTTGTGACATTTTGTTGCCAGAAGTTCGTTGAGTTGTGATTACATTAGGTTGAATATACTGGCAAACGCTAGGTTTTCGAATATGACATGGACCTGATAGCGTTTGGTTTATTATTATTAATTTTCTCTTCATAATGAAATTGAAATTTTAAAGGCATTTTTGATAGGTTGTTATAGCTGAAAAACAATCAACATTGCTCAGCTACAAAAACCTTACATTTATTTGTGAATAATCGGTATTTCATCAGTTGTTTATTTCAATACGATGAAAATCAAGCCGTGATTTATGTTTTTTCTTTCTTTAATAAACGAAAATCAGACTGAATGACATTAGTAATTCGTTGTTATCAATTGTAGCTAGTGTGGTTAGGATTTATGTATTTTTATTTTAACTGTACATTCGAATTTAACTTATTTAAAAGACCATGTAATTTATTTGTGTATATGTTGTTGTAAAAGAATAAAAAAATGTTATTTTCTTTGTTTTTTAAAATTTATAATTTGCTAAGACGCCTGTAACGAATGGACGTGTTGTGATAATACACAACTTGTGTTATCTACTATGTAAATATTAGAATAAAATAAAAACGTTTTTGATTGGAAAATATATATTAATAGATACATTCATGGTAGGGTAAAACTTTACTGTATATATAATATTTGGGTTTATTATTATATTGTTAGGTTAGCTTTTCTGTTTTTTGGCTCAAATTTTAGTTTCACAAAAATTGCTTTTTGTTTATTGTAATAACATATGCTTCATTTCAATGTTTATTGTCCATTTTATATTCGATAATAAATTCCATTTAAAATGCCCACCCCTCCCGAATAAATCAGAGAGCTAAATCTAGCGTTTTTTTTTTTCAAGTTTATCATTTATTGAGGATCAAAACTTGTGGTCAACCATTAAATCTTCGATTAAAAACAATGAAAATAGAAATACAAAACATATTTAGAAATGGATTTTTTTAAACATAAAAGCAATTATGAAATGTCAAGGTTAGTTTTTCCTGAACCCTTCAACTGATCATTTTCAGACGTATTCACACAGAAACGTATATCTGAACTTTAATTACAAATTCGAATCGTAAATCGTGTTGAATCCGCTGGCCAAAAATTCACCCAAAACTGGGGTAATTAAGCTGTACAATATTTTAGCAGATCGACTGTCAGAAAGTATTCGCCAAGTTTGAAGCAAAACTTTCGTTGGGGAAAACGTTTATCCGCAATAAAAAGTTGATTAAACGCGGAAGACACCACCTGTCGTCCATCTTGATGAGGGGTTAGCAGTAAAATACTCGAGTGATAATGATGAAAGGACCTTGTAAAGGTCAAGGAAATATTTCCTTGATTGACCTGGACCAAAAGCGGAAATCCACTGTGAAATATTCCGGATTTCCGGATGAATTTTACTCACTATACCACGACGAAAAAAGAAAGAACCTAAATAATGTTTAATAACACTTTAGATATATAGCCAAACCCACCCTAACTACTATGGTTAGATCATAAATCTGATGGTGGTCCTCAGTGTATGGATCTGATCTTCAATCGGCCGGTTTTCGCAGGTTATTTTTTCACTCATGTACTGAAATAAAAAAAACCACGCATTCGCATATTTTCTCCGGTTCACGAAAAATCATTGAATCGTGGATTTGTAAACTAACCCTAACCATTCCTAATCTAACCTAACCCAACCTAACCTAACTCAACTTACGCGATTAACCTAACTCCTCTGATTTTATCCAAATGCACGTTAGTACAACCGTTAGAAGGCTGAATTTCTCCACGTCCAAGTCAATAACGTTTAGATTTTATAACATTATAAATCATAAAATAAGGAATGGACAAAAAATTCCTCAAGCTTTTTTTTAAATCTACGGTTCTGATTTATTTACAGAGACAGATGCCATTACATATTATTTATAGGGCATTAAAATCCTGTAAAGTTCTTGTGAATTACTGGAGTTTTTCAAACTTATGGCCATTTCTGTGAATTTCAAAAAAATTCGAGGCATTTGAGGGCGAAAAATTTGAGATTTTAAGTCATTATAAATCATAAAACAAGAAATCAACAAAAAATTCCTCAATTTTTGTAAATTAAAAAAAAATCGAGACATTTGAGGGCGAAAATTTTAAGATGAAAATTAATGTAACATTTTTAAAATTAAAAAAGGTGACTCCATGTTCTTTCAGTCTATGTCAACTATGTTTAAATTTTATGTCATTATTAGACAATTATTTAAAGTGGTGAATATTTAATAGATGCAATTCATAGAATTCATAGGCAAAGGACACTGATTTAAAAGGTTGAATATTTAATAGATACAACTCATAGATTTAATGGACAAACGACAATGATTTAAAGTGTTTAACTGTAATAGGTGTAATTAATAGATTTCATAGACAAATGGCACAGATTCAAACATGAAAGTTTCGTGTACAAAATTCAATAGACAAAGGACAATTTTTTTTAAAGTGTTGAATATTTAATAGATGAAATTCATAAATTTCACATACAAAAGGCATAGAGTCAAATGTAAAGGATTCGTGTCCAAACTTCAATAAACAAAGGACAAGTACTTAAATTGTTGAATATTTCTAGATGCAATTTATAGATTTTGTAAACAAATGACATAGATTCGACAAATGTCGTAAGATACGAGTTCTCGATTCAATAAACCAATTTTGTCTCCAGTCCATGATTCAATAGGCAAAGGACAAAGATTAAAATTTCCAAGGATTTGGGTCCACGATTCAATAGACGAATCTTGTATGTAAGTCCACGATTCAATAGACAAATGACTTAGATCCAAATGCCGAAAAATTAGTGGCCAAGGTTTCCATAGACAAATCATGCCTCCAGTCGATCATTCAATAGACCAAGGCAAGGCCAAATTTCGAAAGATTTGAGATCAAGCTTCCATAGAAAATCTTGTCTCCAATCTATGATTCAATATACAAAGGACTTAGATTCAAACATCCAAGGATTCGAATCCAAGATTCAATAGACCAATCTTGCTCCAGTCCATGATTCAATAGACCAAGAACATAGATTCGAATGTCCAAGATTCAATAGACCAATCTTGTCTTTCAATCCACGATTCAATAGACAAAGGACAAAGATCCTAATGTCGAAAGATTCGAGACCAAGGTTTCCATTGATAAATTTGTCTCCAGTCCATGATTCAATAGAAAAAGGACATAGATTCGAACGTCTAAGGACTCGAGTCCTGGATTCGACAAGAACCAATGAGTCGGAGAAGGCGACGATTATCAACAGACATGATCGAAGTGTCAAATTTGAAAGATCATTGAATCGTTCGACCAAAGAATTTTGTACCGAATCATAGTTGATGTCGATTCACAGTATTTCCCCATCTCATGGCCAGCTCAGATTTTCTGCTCTACTTTCTTCTGAACCCTCAGACGGAAGATCGCCCTCTTTTGAAGGAGATCGATTCAAGAGAGAATCGAGAGTCGAGAGTTCGAGACTCGGCACTTCGTCTGCCCCTTGTCGGGCCTCATTGACAAATGTAAACAATAAACAAACCGGGCTAAAGTATGAATCATTTTCCCAGTTTGTCTGGTTTGAAATAAAAGCTCCATCGACTCCAGGAACCGGCAGATCTTAAAATGGCTGGGACAGTTCTGGAAAATCTCAGTGGAAAAAAACTCGCCGTTTTGGTTTCATGTTTTCTCGTGTGCCAAGTGATTTGCTTCCTCACAGGCGGACTTATCGGTAAGAGAACTTTTTATTTACTTATAAATTTACTTTTAGAGCTTAGAGCTTGAATTAAAATTACATTTAGTTTTTATTAACTTTTCGTCTTATGTTTAATCGCAAACAGCAATTAACATACTCAAAAAATCAATATCTTACTCAACTCTCTTGTATCCAAACAAAAAAAATTGTAAAAAATAAAATAAATGAATAACTAAGAATCAAAACTGTAAAATATGTATATTCTTATTTATTATTGTACATATTTTCAATCCATTTTTATGTACCAAAATTAAAATTTGGCATGACTTCTTGGGAAATGGAATCACAAATTGGTATAAGAACTTTTTATTTACTTATAAATTTACTTTTAGAGCTTAGAGCTGGAATTAAAATTCTATTTGGTTCTTATTAACTTTTCGTCTTTTATTTAATCGCAAACAGCAACTAACATACTAAAAAAAAATCAATATCTTACTCAACTCTTTTGTATCCAAACAAAAAAAATTGTAAAAAATAAAATTAAAAACAAACAAAAAACAAAACTGTAAAATATGTATATTCTTATTTATTATTATAGATATTTTCAATCCATTTTTATATACCAAAATTGAAATTTGAATTTGGCATGACTTCTTGTGTAATGGAATCACAAATTGCCCCAAATATTAGCCCCTGGGGAAAATATATTTCTTTAATTTCCCTGGTTTAAAATAAACAAATTATTTCCATAATGGTTCAATAGTTGTTTCCCAATTGCACTTAATAAAATTTAACATTATCGCATGACACAGGTAAGTGTTTGTATATGTAAATTTGGTAAACTGAAGGAGCAAGGTCAGGTAGATAGGTATGAAAGTGTGATAGAAAAAAGTCACTTTATCATTCCACTAATACTATTGTCAAGGACTTTAATTTTTAAGGTTAACAATCAAAATTATATTATTATTAATTATTACCTCCTTTATATTTAGTGGTCTGATTGACCGAATTACTTCTTTCAATTAATTAATCTTTTTTCATTTCAACCAGGACCTTACATAAAAAGATTAATTAATTGAAAGAATTAATTATTACTTTTAAACTTTATAGTGATATATTTTTCATAAGAATGGTAAACTGAAGGTGCAAGGCCAGGTGATTTTGCTGTGTGAAATGGGTGCCAATTTCTTACATTGTCTCGCTTAATTCCTAGAAATAGTCAACAAATTTTACTTGCGATAAAGTTTTGTATTTTTAAGTTTAAGTAATTACAACTAAGCACTCTTAAACTTATTATTTGTATGTTTTTTTATAAGCATGGTTAACTGAAGGTGCAAGGTCAGGTGATTTTGGTGTGTGAAATCAGTGCCAATTTATTACACTGTCTCGCTTGATTCCTAGAAATAGTCAACAAAATTTACTTTTGATAAAGTTTTGTACTTTTAAGGTTAAATAATTCTAACTAAACATTCTTAAACTTTATATTTCTATGCTTTTTTTTATAAGTATGTTAAACTGAAGGTTCAAGGTCAGGTGAATTTGATGTAAAATCAGTGCCAATATCTTACAGTTTTGCATTTAATTCCTAGAAATAGTTAACAAAATTTAGTTTTGGTAATGATTTGTATTTTTAAGGTTAAATTATTACAACTAAACACTCTTGAACTTATTATTTCTGTTTTTTTTTTTTTTTTTTTTTTTTGTAAGTACAGTAAACTGAAGAGGTAAGGTCAGGTAAATTTGATGTGAAATCAGTGCCAATTTCTTACATTGTCTTGCTGAATTCCTGTAAATAATGAAAATCACTAGCTTTCACGTTCCACTTCTAATTTTCATAAGGATTTGTAATTTTAATGTCGAATAAATGCAACTAAACAGTCTGAAGCTTATTATTGTTATTGTTATTTTTTACTGTGATGGTAAACTGAAGGTACAATGTCAGTTCGATTAGGTATGGATAGAAAATATTCACTTTATCATTCCACTTATACTTTTCTTAAGCGTATGCATTTTTAAGGCTTTAATAATGAAAGCCAAAGGCAATAAAGATTGAATTTTATTATGTATCATATGATATACACAATTTAATATATGCTTATGTAAATATGTACCGATATCTTGTATTATCTTGCTTGATCCCTAGGAATTGTCAAATCAAACTAGCATTAACATTTTGTCTTTATTTTTGATAAGATTTTGGATTTTGAAAGCTGAATAATTAAACCAAATGATTTTTATGTTTGTATTTATTAGTGTTTTTCTTTTCATTGCTCTTTTTGTTCTTTAAATTACCTGGGAGTGTTCATTGGTTGGGTTAGGTTAGGTTTGGAATGGTTAGTTTGTGTAGAGTTTCAGCTGGGAACTGGTTAGGTTAGATTGGGTAAGGCTTAGGATTTTTGTTATTTTCTGTATTACAACGATATTCATTAAATCGCAATGAGAAACAACAAAAAAACACAATATGTTTACTAATCTGATCACTTGATCAGAGTAAACTTAAAAAAAAATAACAATAAAAAAATAAAATAAAACAATATCATCTCAATTAAGTAGGCGAGAAATAATTATTTTTAAAAGTGTTTTATTGATGTCAAATACTGGAATAAAAAAATTAATTTTGAGTTAAAAAACAACATGGCATGTTATTTTTCACTATTTAACAAAATTTTCAACTACTTTTTTTGCTTTAAATTTACTTGTATACAGATACAATCCTTGTACAAAAATATATAAATTAAAAATAAGAAAGTAATAAGGGGACGTCAGTGTCCACAATGGTTAAGGGAAAATCTAGTCACTCTTTAGGAGTTTTACTTTAATATTTGCTACAAATTGTTTCCAATTTAATTAAGAGTTTTTATAATATAATTTTTTTCCAGCTCCAAAGCCATCGTTCACTGATTCAATTCTAGCAAGCAAATGCATTGACTTCAAAAATAATTCTGATGAATGGTTTTACATCAGGGGAAAAGAACCGTGCAGAACTGACGATCTAGATGTTTTCTCAATGTATGAACCTATTGAGCTTGCTAACAGAATAGTGTTTGTGTTTCAGGTATGGTTAAATTATTATCAATATTACGTTTAAAATGATTAACCATGTTTTTAAATTCATGTTCTTCTATAATTTGTTTAATGTCAAGCTTTTGTTCATTTATTTTACAGTTAATAACAAAAGTGCTCATATCATTTACTCTATTAATTTATTTGGGTTGAAGATCTGAGATACACTTTTTCTTTTACAGATCCCTTCACCGAGAGAAAGGGTTTTATTGGACTATTCAAGATGGCAACAAAATTTGATTGGAATTCTACATTTTGATATATTGTTTCACCCAAGAAATGAAATGCGTACGTTCATAAACATGATTATGAAACATTTTTAATTATTGTATTATTTGTTGAGTTTTACTTGGAACTTTGTCATAACTATTTTTAAGGAGTCATAAATTTTGGTTTAGCTTTCACTTGAACCTCTCGTCTGGTTTATTTTTAGCATCAAGAACAGTGTTAACAATAGATGCAAAACTTGCCTATAGAAACAAACACGACGTGGAATGGAAATATTACGCTTCTTCTGTTGAAAAAAGAAACCTAGATTGTGTCATAGATGAAGTGAGTATACTAAATGTTTTATAAGTTCTACACAAAAGTAATAATTTATATCATTTTTTCCAGAAAAAAGAGGGCTATCCTTACAATTGCTCGATTGTTCCACTGTTCGAACTCGGTTCACTGCATCATGATTTTTACCTTCTTAACATCCGGCTGCCGGTTGATCATCAAAAATACATGAATGTAGAATTAGGCCACTTGACAGACATTTGGCTTTTTGTATGTTTTTATTTTATTTATTTATTTATTTTAATTAATTAATTTGGTAATATGTCAGTTGTATAGGGGACTATTTTTTTATTTTTTTACAGGCTATCAATCAGACTGGGGGATTCACAAAGGTTTGGGTCACAATGAAATGTATATTTTTCCCATCGATTATTGCCATTCTCATTTGGTTTTGGAAAAGAGTTACCATTTTGGACAGAAAGCCGTTGTTACTTGAATACATGCTGGTATTTGTAGCATGTGCACTCACATTCCTTAACAGTAAGTGTTCTTAAAGTAACTTAAATGAAATGTTGTTTAAAATACTACATTATTTAAAATAGATTTTTTTCATCCTTTCAAACAGTTAATAAATTGACATTTTAGACCAATAGACTTTTTCTTTACCAATTTGTCTGGTTCCACTTTTAGCATACTTTGACGTATGATTAATTATGATTCTTAGCAATTCTCTTATTTTTTTATGTTTGTCGGCAAGATATTTCATCCTCTTATACCGGGGTACACTTTTTCCCAGGCTTTCGAGATATGCTAGGCAATTAAACCACAAAATTTGATTGCCTGCATGATTTTCCCATAAGGTTTTGGTCAACTGTATTCATAAGTTAGATATATTTTAATATACAATTTCTGTTTGTTGTTTGTTTCAAACTACACTATTAATTTTCTATGAATACTGTACATTAATTTTTTTTAAATTTTCTGTTTGTTTGTCCTTTTCCAGTGCCTATTGAATTGCTTACTCTATACTATGAATTACCATTTATGCTATTATTGGGAGATATAAGGCAAGGTATTTTTTATGCTGCGCTTTTATCGTTTTGGCTTATTTTCGCTGCTGAACATTTGATGGTAAAAACTTGTACTTATATTCAAATTTTAATTATGATAAAACCTAATGTAATGTGTTTTTATGTTTGTTTTCCCCTTCGTGGAATCATCTAGATTCAAGTAAGTATAATGAATCTAAGTTCAGAGATTTCAGAACTAATTTAACCTTTTTATGTTTTACAGGAGAGTAAGAAAAATCACCTTATTTCGTATTGGCCACAGCTTAGTTGTGTTGTCACCGGCTGTATAGCTATGTTTGTATTTGACCTGTGTGAAAGAGGAGTTCAATTAAAGAACCCCTTTTACTCTATTTGGGTTACAGATGTTGGATCAAAAATTGCTGTATCCTTTTTTAATTGGTTAATTTTCTGATATTTTTAATAAAATAAATTAATAAGAAAGTACAATTATATTTTATCATCTGTGAGGTGTATGTATATTTATACCAGACCAGGATAATCAGACACAATAAAATTATGAAAACTCATAAAAGCTAGAACAATAATTAAACATACAAGAATGTGAAAGAAAAAAAAATCGTTTCAGTGAGTTCAAATTAAATATAATTTTATATTAGCTTTATTTTTTAAACATTTAAATATTATAGAAATTATTGAAGAGAAGGTATCGACCACTTGAAGTTTAATTCGATGTTTGATCAGTATTATGGTCAAGGGGTAGAACAAAAACAAAATTCCAACTGTACCAAGTTTTCGACCCTAGCTTGAAGGTCATCATCTGGCCAGGGCCTCTATTTTAAACAAATTAACAACAATTAACAGTTATTTTATAAATAAAAACAAATACCAATTTTCAGCATAGGTAACATACCACATTGATTTTTTTTAAATTTGTAGTAAAGTGACATTAATTATTTTAATTTACTAATTTAGAAGCTGAATTTCTTCAGTTTTTGAAGAAAAAAACAGGAATGGTAACCCTTAAAAACTTATACACAATGTAATCTCTAACCAAAGAATCACCTCAGCTATAAGATTGAGAAGGTCACATGATCAAGTAATCACACCTGTGACATACATGTACTAAGTCTTTTCTTCTGAGGATTCTTTATGCAACAGTCAATATTTTTAAAATCAGAATTGTGCTGGGAGTTGACAACCCAGTTAACAATTTGGATGGACAATCATGTTTTAGACGTGTTACACAAATCATCTTTATGTTTTAACTTTGTGAAGAATCAGCCTATTCAAATACTTAAAACAAATATTTACATCACGTACATACATTGTTTTTGAGGAGTATCTCACTTTATTGCTAATATCCGGTAGAAATGTTAAACTTATATAAATCACAGATATACTTGTTTCTACACAGGACTCTCTTGAGGGGGGGGATGTTTTGAATAGAAGATATTTTGGTTAAATTTTGATAAATTAGCTTTACAACTAAAGAATGCGTAAGAAACAAATGTTCCTAAATTATTTTCCTATATAATTATATACGTAGTTGGCTTTGCTTTTTGTCGGTGGAATCTGTGGAACTATATATTTTCTGGTATTGACATATCTGATATGGAATGTGTTCCGTAACATTGGATCTAAAAAAGCGAGCTTGCCATCAATGTCGCAAGCTAGGAGACTGCACTACAGCGGAATAATATACCGATTCAATTTCCTTATGCTGACCACGATTATTTGTGCTGCATTGACAGTTGTAACATTTTGCCTTGGACAGGTAATAAAATACACATAGTTTACATTTATATATTTATAAAAATTATTGTTTAATATAAACGTTAATAAAGATTTCAGAAGGCCAATTGAAATGGGATGAGAACCCTGGTCTAGAATATAGCTCGGCTTTCTTCACAGGAGTTTATGGCATGTGGAATATTTATATTTTTGCTCTCCTCGCACTCTACGCTCCATCACATAAACAGTGGCCATCAAATAATGGTACTTTAACCCTGTCTATTTGACCCTAATTTCTAACCTTACATAACCTGACCCTAATTCTAACCCTTTCCCCACCTGACCTAACCTAAGCTGTTCCTTAACCTAACCTAACATCCATGCACATTCCCCAGTAATGTGAAAATGTCATACAAACAAATATGTGTATCCAGCCTAAGAACACATCCATATTAACATGGGGTAACATTGATGAAAAGCACTTTTTGAAGTGAAATATATATACTCACNCCCCCCCATATCGCTTATTGCTATTGATGAAAAATAATCATAAATTTATGTAGTTTTTTGTACATAATCTTCAAAGTCAGGATAGGAAAAAATGTTGACTTTCCTCAAGACATTTAATCAGTGTCAAGTAAGTATTGTATATTGTAGACAGTCAACACATGATAGAATCTACATATTACACGATAAATAAAAAAGAAAAACTAACATTTTTCCCACTATATGGAAAAACAAATAACGTATAAATAACTTAACTCTGACTCTGCCTAATCTAACCTAACCCTTCTCTATCACTAGCTTTGCCTAACTTGTCCCTAGCCCTACTTAACCTAACTTGGCCATTTCTAACCTAACCTAATCCAATCCATACACACTCCCCGGTATTGCAAAAAAATTGTGCACCTAGCCCAAAACATATCCATATCTAAAAAATATATATATATATAATAATTTAAATTTTTTTAATCGGTGTTTTTATTACTTTCAGAACCAACTGTTTCTACCAATGACATTGAATTTTCATGTCTAGAACCTGAGCCGAGTGAAATTTCTTCTTTAACAACATTCTCCAAGAAAACTGCACTAGATTAAAGAAATAAATCAAATAACGTCTTGCCCAATTAGTTTGTAGCTTTATGTCCCAATTCCTCCAAATGAGAAAAAGGGTATTTTTTCAAAGTATTATTCTCTATGTGATGAAAAATTTTGTAATCTTTCGATAATTTTTACTGATTATTAATTGTCTAAACCAAGTGTTCAAGTGTAGCGGTTGTGGTTACTTTATGTTTGTCTTTCATACCATATAAGTAGACATAAGTTTCTAAATCCTAAACGTTATTAAATCATACGCTTAAATGTTTTATATTTTTAAAAATTTACACATTTAAACGATAAAATAAAAACATACACAAATGTATTGCATTTATAAACATATATTTCTATTTATTGAAAATTGCTTCAGGCTTTATTATTATTTAATAAAAAATTATAATTTATTTCTGTTGCTACAACTGATTTTTAATTTACTATTATTATTGTAACAAACATGTAAGATTAAATATTATTGTAATAGATTAGCAGCTATAGAATGTGAAGTTTTGTGAATGTTGAATCAGTAAATACTGCTGGATATCCTTTGTAGTTTGACAATTTTAGTTAATATACCCCTTCCTGCAATAACTTTTATAATGTTTAATTTTGGTGCAGTAAAAATTAAAAAACATGAGTTCAAGTCATTTTATTTTGAAGTAAAAACAAAATATATACATAACATGCAAACTTAAAATACATAGATGATGAATAAACAAATTTAAAGGAAATGTCTAAAATATGAACTATTAAAAGTTCTAATTTGTTATGTTTTTATTAAATATGCAAAATTAAATATAAATAACTACATATATTAAATTGGGCACATAATTATATAATTTTTTGAGCTCAGCCATTGGTTTTAGGCGGTTTTATTTATTTGTTATTTTTTTAATTAGTTTGTTGTTGTAACCTAAAGACAATTCAGCGTGTTCTGCTTTCATGAGTAGTTGATCCAACCTATCAACCTGTCGTTCGACCTCTTCGGCCTTAAAACTTGAACAAGAATTTCCTGATTCTGCTGATCGTTGATTGGGTGATCCTTTACAATAATAAAAAATATATTGTCATTACTAGTATTGCTAAAATTAGTACAACGGAGTTTTACTAACCTTGTGAGCAACAATTGTAATACATACCTGATTTTGATGGTGAGTTATGTTCTGCATTTTTAGGCGTAGGGCTTGATTTATTGTCAGATGATTTTTTAATCAAACGTCCAAGTCTGCCAGTTAAGCTCTAAGAGTAAAGTGATAAAGAGTATTAACAAACAGATGTTTCAAAACTAATTGTCAATTTTAATAGCTGTAAAAAATTGAAAGAGCTCAATTAAATATTCAAAATAACTTGAAAACATTTATTTATAACTAAATCAAATAAACAATAACTTAAAAATAAAAGCAAGTTGTTCAGCAATGCCAGCCCATATAATTAATGGATATTGTGCTTTGTTATTTGAAAATGTATGGGCTAATACTAACAAAAATTATTTATTTTATTACTGAAGCAATAAAAAACATTAGCATTTAAAATTGTAATATGTTAATGCAAAAAATGAATCAAAAAGCCCAAAAAACAAAACTTACTCACCTGAAACCTAGTTAATTTCTTTTTAGTTGATCCAATGACAGAATTCAGTTCATCCAGCCCACCATTAATGTGTCCAAGTTGCTCTCCTTCAATTGCCAAAGTCTAAAAAACATCAGACATGTCACTATAACTGAAATTTATTACTAACAATGCTTGATGTGATAATAATTTCAATAAAAACAACTTAAGTTTAAAGAAAGAATGTGTCTGAACTTCAACCCATCAATAGGCTTCCTAGATTTTCAAATAAAATTAGCAATACGGTTGATTTTTTTAAATAATTCTGTACAGTTTAAAAATTTAAAGCAAAAACAAATCCTTGGTAAATAAGACGGCCAAGTGGCCCTAAAAGCATAAGCATGTAAAAATTCACAAATTGAAACATCCTCACAACAGCCAAACCTGAATGCCAGAGCACAAAAGCAATTTTGAGTAATGGATAAGCAGACTGGCCAGAGAAGATGTGCAAGACTATAAGTTCAGAACCTATACTTGGGGAAAGAAGGGCAATACAGAATCCTTCATTTCAGACTAGGCCTGCACAGAAAAGATGAAACCTAGAGGTGTTAGACAGAGAAATTATGGCTAAAGAAAATAGCTTGTTTAAAAATAGCAGCATAGAACTAGGAAAAATTAAGAAACTAGGAAAAATTCAATAAACCACAAAACTGCAGTGCTTTGGGAATACCAAACCCCCCAACTTCCCAGCATGCTCATCATCATTAAATGATGGACTTTTTGTAAATCCAAGTCAAGTGAGAACATCAATCAAGATGTAGCAACCACATATTACTTGTAAAACAAACAAAACATTGTTACATGTAAACTGGGTAAAACCCAAGGTAGTGACAATGCTACCTGTTTCTGGCATCTGAGAAAACAACTACACATGGGTATATTCTGTAATGACCCCATTTGTAAGTTATACCATATCTTCGGATATAAAGCAACCGCTCAATGGAGTACCCAGGAAAAATAATTGAGCCAATTAAACTGAACTAAGGAGCTAGGAAAAGAAAATAAGCTAGAAAGCTACAGGGCTCTTGGAATACCAAGTCCAAGCTTCCTCTAATCTTCATCATTATCAAATGAAGATAGACATCTATGAATAGAGATAGACTATTCAACTACCTTAAGGGTTGAATTCACCAGGTGGAAAACAATAAAAAAAGTTTCCCAACTCCCGATCAGGAAAACAAAAATTTACCTCTGTATCAGCAGGCATGAAGGAAATTTAATAACCACCATGTAAACTGAAACAGAATATGCCAATTCTGCCATGGAATCACAGAAACAACAAAAGTCCTGTGAATGCAAAGCATTAAGGTTAGAAACGGTACAGCCTCTTCAGAACACCGAGGTCTATATATAAAAAAGAACCCAGGTAAGTTCTCAATTCCTTTATGAATAGTGGATTTTTTGAAGCAAGGGCGGTAAGGACCTATGCAACAAGGTAATAGTCTCTACCCGTTCGCTGGTCAATAAAATACATCAAGTAGAAATGATGTTTGTAGATCGACCTGCAGATAATGTCATTGTGTGTCGGGTTTCGTTTTAATTGTAATCCTTTTGTATACATAATTTTAAACAAGCTTTAAATTCTAGTCATTAATGTAATACCCTGTGATATTATAATGTATTTATTGGTTTTAATGACAACAATAGCTAGTAAGAACAAAAACAGTTGGACTTGTAAATGTGTGAATTATTAGTGAGGTAATTTATTTTATATAAAAAAATGTTATTGTATATATTAAGTTATTATTTTTNTGTCTATGCATAAAGATCCAAACAGTTCAAATTCCAATTAAAAACCAACTGTTTATAACTGCTAATGGAGAAAGTGCTCAACTACCTTAAGAATGATGGATTTTCTGAGGTATGGATATAAAAAAGCGTCAATTCCACATTAGAACTTATAGGTCTCAGAGCAAGAAGCGATTATTATTACAAGCAATCCCAGAAGAAAAAAAAAGCGTATTTTTATGTTTTGAAATTCCATATTCTATATATAAAAAATAGGGTAGCCATTACTGAAAATCTTCTATAGTTAGTATAGGTGATTTTTTGGTATATTATTTATTCTATAGTTATGTGCTCTATTAAATAATTTTTTATGATGTTCATCGTGAATTTAATTTTTTTTAAATTACTCTACTTTTTAAAATCCCACCTCCACAGATGAAACATCGACATCGTTCTCGGCGAATATTGTTTTATCTGGTTTTTTGAGACCCAGCAGCTCTGCTCGCATACATTCGTATTCGTAATCAGACGCTGTCATAATAAAACGTGCTACTTAAATTCATGCTTTCCTAGCACTTTTTCTGGGCTAAGGTCGATCGACCACACTAGCAAGTAGCTCTACCGCCGACGGACGTTTAGTATAATACAAAAATCAATAAGTTGTTTGATCCGCTGCGGTAAATCGGAGGCGACCAATTTACCCCGTCGTAAATCTTGTAAAGTAAAATTTGAACAAACCGGTCAATTTATGAAACTTACTTAACATAATTAAGCACTTACAGATTAACGGGCTCGAAGGGTGCTCAGTCACCTTACAAATTAGACAATAAAATGTCTTATTTTCTTTCGTGACATCTTTTTTTATTAATAATATTTAAATTGAAATTAAAAAAAATTAATGCATGGATTCTCGCAATAACGATGGCGGGCTACTTGTGGAGGGGTTGACCATAAAATACTATTTAATCTTCTGTCTTTTACTTTAACGATGATGATACTGGAAAGTGTGGGTTTGGTAATTTCCCAAGCACTACAACTTTTTGGCTTATTGTACTTTTCTTAGTTCCTTAGCAATTCTTTTCCCTGGGTCATCTTGAAATCCTAGGTTATATCTTCATGAGCAGTGCTTCGAATTCAATAACAAGGGTAGCTCATTTCTACTTATTGCATAACCTACAAATGGGTATAAAATTGAATGTACCCATGTGCCATACACGATTCATAGAGAAAATTGACGTGGATTTACAAAAATTCAGTTTATGATGATGAGCATGCTGGGAAAACTGGGGCTTTGTGTTACCCAAGCATTTCAGCTTTATTGGCTTCTCGTTCTTTTCCTAGTGCCTTAGTTCAGTTCAATTGACTCTATTCTTCTTTTTCCTGGGTCTTATTGCTACCCCTATGTTAAGACTCCATTGAGCTGTTGCCTTGCATTCGAAGATATGGCATAACCTACAAATGGGGTCATTATAGAATATACCCATGTGCAGGTGTTTTCTCGGATGCCAGCGACAGGTAGCATTATCACTACCATGGGATTTACCCAGTTTTATTTATTTATTTACGCATCGAAATCCACTATAAAAAAAGACATTTTACAATAACAAAAAATATAAATAATATATGTAAAAATACAAATAATATATATAAAAAGAATAAGGACGTATATGCATGGTAATAATATAAATGATAAATATAAAAATACAATTAAAGAGTAAAAACTGAACAACAAAAATGAAAGACATAATTACTAACCAAATAAGGCAGAGGAAACAAAATAAAGCTGAAAGACAATTGAAACTACAATAATTAGGTACATATTTAATGAAAATAATGCTCTTTGTAAATATATAATAAGACTAGAGTGCGAGAATTAGTTGAACCAGTAAATGAAATAAATTGTAATAATTTTGTACAGTATGAAATATAAAAGCATTCAACTAAGGTTGTAGGATAAGGTTTTTCACAGATTGCACAGAACTATTGAAGAAGTCAATGCTATTGCAGATGTTGTTACTCTTGATCATCATTCTGTGTAGAGGAGAAGAGAGCATGTAGTTAGAGCTTTGGAATTCAATATAAAATAATTTATAGGTTTTAAGAGAGTACGAAGGGACATGTAGCTGTAGTTGAGAGAGGAGATAAGGACTATCAATGAGATTGTTTAATAATTTAAATACAAAAACAATATCAAAGTAATCCCTTCTTAGTGCCAGTTCGAAAAGTTTAAATTCAGAGCGGATTCCAGGGTAGGCAGAATTCGGAGGAAGATTGAGTTTGTAGGAAAGTTTTTTTAAAAATTTGTTTTGTACAGATTGAAGAATTTTTTGATAATTTAGATAGAATGGGTTCCAAACAGGTGTAGCATATTCTAGTATGGGTTGTACAAAAGCTTTATAAAGATGGACAAAACATAGAGGATTTTTAAATTCATAGGTGTTCCGGATGATGAAACCTAGCATCTTCATAGATCTATTTTTTATTGAAGAAATATGTTCTTTAAACTTGAGCTTTTGATCAAAAAGTACACCAAGATCCTTTACGACCTCAACTCGCGTTAAAAGAGCATCATGGAGAGTATAGAGATAAATAAAAGGTTGTTTCTTATGAGAGAATGTAATTGTGTAGCATTTGGAAACATTAAGAGCAAGTTTGTTATTAGAGCACCAGGTTAGCACATTATTGATAGAATTTTGTAATTGTAAGCAATCGGAAGGAGAAGTGATTATGGAATAGATTTTCAGATCATCAGCAAATAATAAAAATTGAGCAGAAGGGAGAGCAAGATGGATATCATTAATAAATAAGAGAAACAAAACTGGTCCAATATGAGACCCTTGCGGGACTCCCGAGGAAGCCGCAAAGGGACATGATTTAAATGATTTTATTTTGACTATTTGTTTTCTGTCGGAGAGAAAGCTGGATAACCAATTCAAGATAGTTGCGGTGAAACCATAATCCATTAGTTTCCTTAACAGTATTGTGTGATTTACTTTATCAGAAAAGTAGAAAAATCAGTATACACTGATCCCTAACCAGTTTATAGGTAAACAATGTATTTGTTATTGTTTTACAAGTAATATGTGTTTGCTACATCTTGGTTGATGTTCTCACTCGACTCATAGAGAAAATTGACTTGGATTTGTAAAAAGTCCATCATTTGATGATTATGAGCATGCTGGGAAACTGGGGTTTGGTATTCCCAAATCACTGCAGCTTTTAGGCTTACTGTTCTTTTCCTATATCCTTAGTTCAGTTCCATTGACTTGATTTGTCTTTTTCTCATTTCTTTTTCCTGGGTCTTATTGCTACACTTAGGTTAAGGCTCCATTGAGCAGTTGCTTCACATTCAAAGATATGGCATAACTTACAAATTGGGTCATTATAGAATATACCAATGTGTAGATGTTTTCACAGATGCCAGGTAGAACTAACACTGCCCTGAGTTTTACCACTATATATGTAGCAATGTATTTGCCATCGATTCATAAATGCTACATCTAGTTCATGTTCTCACTCTACTCATACAGAAAATTGATTGGATTTACAAAAATTCCATCAGTTGAGCATGTGCATGTTTGATGATTAGCATGCTGGAACGCTGGGGTTTGATATTCCCCAAATGGAAAAAATGGCTTATTGAAAATTTCTTCATTTCTTAGTTTAATTCAATTGACTCGATCCTTATTTGAAGAAGTAGGTCATTGACTGTCATGGCTGCAGTTTATTACCCCGAGTCTTCTTGGTAACTTAGGTTATGTCTCTTGTATTCGAAGATAATATGGGTGGCTCTTTCTCTTCATTGCATATCCTACAATTGGGGTTATTATTGAATATACCCATGTGTAGATGTTTTTTCAGATGTTCATCACACCCCAGAGTTTTACCCTGTCCAACCGTACCACTGTGTTTAACCTTTATACCCATATCCCAGATCTCGCATTACCCAGGTAGTTTAGCACTTTCCAAGGTGCTTCTTCCTTATTTTCTTAAGCATTTGTGTCTCCTTTCCAAATTGGTCGGTTTCCAGACTAATACTTTGTTACTTTTACAGTCACATAAAACATGTTCCAATGTTTTTGTAGTTTCAAGGCAGAGTTCTCTGTCAGTTTTTCCCATTTTTAATGTGGATTAATTATATATGGTCTGTATAAAGACAATTTGTTTAGTCTTATCAAAAAAATCCTCATGAGATAAGGCAGCAATGACAGAGGAGGATCTGCAGGACCAACTAAGAGCCCAGAATTTAGTGGGTGACTGAAGTTGGAATCTTTTGCTGATTTCTTCCAAAAGTCCTCCAAAATTAGTCATTAATTAATTTGTAATTGGTTCATCAAATCTATTTACACTTTGCTATATCATGCCATTTTACATTTAGTACATATGTTTATTTTATTAGAATTTTGCATAGAAATCTTTTAAATTGATTTTTTAAGACCGAGTGTAAGATCTTGGACTTATTAAGTGAAAAACTTGAATCTGCCCAAAAAAGTGAAATTTCTGGGTTCAGACTAAAATCTAAAAATCTGGCTCCAGACGTTTTATTAACACTTGTTACACCAGGGCACTGAATTAGTGTTTTGTTCAAACATACTGGAATTGATGAGGTTCTTTGGGATAAAGAGTATCTCTTTTGAGCAGAGACTGTTTTTTGATTCGTCCAAAGGAAGCCTGAAGGTGCTTTTCTTCATAACGGTTAAAATTATGCTTCCATTTTAACAGATGAAAATATCTGGCTTGTGTCAAATACAAACTTGACAACTGGAGAATGTGAGGGGATTTTAAGATCATAGGGCTTCTACTCGGCCAACAGTCTGAGTATACAAAATTTCCATGTTGCATTTTGGATAGGATAGCCGAGCAAACAATTCAAAAGCAGCTCAATCCTGTGTCAAAATACATCAAAAGATAAGACCTTTGTATATAAAAAAATGAATGAAATAATTTTTCAAGGCTTGTAGTGAAAAGTTTAATCAGGGCACCAGAATGATTAGCAAAGGTACTATGGATGATGGAATTTTAACATGATGTAATCATTTCAGAGAGAGCTCGTTGTTGATCGCACTTCTCTAGCAGATCAGATTTTCTTTACATTTTTTCTGGGAATCAAATTAATATCTGATCTTCTTGATAAAGGGTGAACTTTGAAATGAAAAAAAACACAAACAAAAAGCATCTTAATTCTATTTGTACTGTCGACTTTTCGTGTACTGATTGATCTGTTTTAAGAAAAGACAATTTTTGTGTTATGTATTTAAGTTTATTTATCAAACTATAACAAGATGAATTTCTAATACAATAGTACAGCAACATTAATTAAACTTTTTTTTTTAAATGCCAATATTATAGGTTGTAGTATTCAATTACAGTTCTGAATATTGATAGTTATCATCATTAAACTGCATATGTATTACAATAATCTGTTATATATTAGAATTAAGTATAAATGAAGGTATCACTGTGTATAATTTATTTTCAAAAAATTATATGCTGCAGCTTTTTCTAATGAGTTGTCTTTGCCTTTATATAGTTTGAATTGAGTACTATTTTCTTTCACTGGAAAAACGAGATTGGCAATTATATCCTCGGATGATTTTTCAATAAGAAAAATATTATTGAAAAGTGACCAAAGCGGAGGGCTATTGAAACGACTCTCTTCTTTCACACTAATAATGAGGTGACATGTATTAAGCCTGTTTATCTCGCTTAAAAAATTGCTGGCGTCAATGAGTGCAGCGGACACCTCGACAGGTTCAAATTTATTTGAACCTGAAAAGTCGTCAAATTCATTAATAAGAATGACGCTAGGTTTGACACCCTCCTCTTGAATATAATTGCACCAATTGATTATTTCTTCCTTTGTAGAACAGTGTCTAAAATTAGAGTAAATGAATAGAAAAATCATTTTATTATTTAACTGCTATTAGTATGGAGGAAATATTACTTAAAGAAAATGCGGTTAAGACGCTCAGGGCACTCACTGAATGGCCTCCTGTGTAAGTCAGGGAGATGGTCAACTTTTTTAGTAATGATAAAAGAGACAAAGCCATAATTTGAGCACTGATAAGCGAACTGAAAATAATATATTTATTACACAAAATCATATAAAATTTACTATATGTAATTAGTTTAATTACTAGTAAGATTAATTAAATTAATTATACGTTTAACTTAATGTCTTGATTGAGATGAAAAAGCGTCATGTCATGAGGGGGATTTGAACCCAAGACCTTTGGCTTAATATGCCACTGCTCTAACCACTTGAACTATCATCTTTTTGATCCACTCGGACACACTCTTCATAGCAACCTACAACCTTTCAAATTTCCCCTCTTTTTGCCATATTTTCGCATCCTGCTCGTAACACTTGCTTTTTCATCTCAACCAAGACCTTAGATTAAAAGTATAATTAATTAAAATAATTAACAGGTCAACTATGATACTAAATACATCTAATGGACTAAGATTAATATTAATTCAATGCCAAAAACTTGTACCATTCAAACAACAACCCATATTTTCTTCTAAGCAAATGGACATGATTCTAATAGATGTGACTGATTTTGAACATAGAGTGATTTATATTTGTTAATTAATTGAGAAAAGGTCGTCCTGATATAATCGCAATGTCACAAATTATTACAGTCCCTAGATTGTGAGATTTTTCGCCTGTGGGTGATGAACTTGAAATTTGGTCTTTACTGATCATTTTGGTCTGCCTATTCTCAATGAGTGGGTCTGTCAGACATGTTTCGGGAATGTATCTTCGCACTCCAGTTAGGTGAATGAAATAACATGTGTCTGACAGACCATCCCAGCGAGGACAGGCAGACGAAAAGACTCAGTAACGACCAAATTTCTTAAGAGTTTCTCTCAGACCCTCACCATATCCTTTTATGATTAAATTTAATTATTCAGATATCGTGAGATGCGGTCTGGTGTAATGTAGGTTTCAGAAAAACATTATTTTATGGCGAGATAAAGAAAATGTTTTTCTGAAACCTACATCACACCAGACCGCATCTCACAATATCTGAATAATTATCGATTAACGGTCATCAATCTCTACACANATCCATATTAGCTAAGTAATGATGATTGATAATAAGATTTCTTCTGTGGGGTGCATAATATAAATTTTTTACAAATCGACCCAAACTCAAAATATATAGAGTTATCTGGAAAATAATGCAGGTTTTCATGCTTTCTTTCAATTAACCCTCTATATAGTAAAATATTTACATTTATGAATTATTCTTTTGTACAAATGGCAACACTTTTTAATCCTCTTCCAAACAAAAATGTTTGTTTACCTCAGTAACATTTATTGCTTCACTTGGGAATAATTGAGTCTTTACTAAGATCTCAATGCGTGATTTTTGCACAGTTTTGTTTTAGACTAGTTGTTGTTTTAAACTAGCAGTGTAAGTGAGAACAGCACCATGCAGAGATGGTTTAAAAAATTTCGAGAGGGAGACTTTACACTTGACGAAAAAGGATGTCAGGAAGAATTTCTTCCCTTAGATCATAATGTCTGCGAGCTTTGGTCAAAGAAAATCCCAGAATGACTGTTTGAGAATGTGCAAAGAATCTTTCAGTTAGCAAATCGACCATTGTTGACCACCTCAAGACAAGTGGAAAGGTTAGAAAGATCGAAAGTTGGGTTCCTCATATGTTAAACGACCTGCAAAAAAATCCTTGTTATGAAGTTTGCACAATACTTCTGTTGGAACAAAAACGAACCTTTTCTGGATAGAATTGTTATTTGTGGAATAAAGTATAAATCTCTACGATATCAGCAGACGTTCTGGACAGAGGCTCGACAAAGGAGAAACAGTACCACATTTTTCAAAGCCCCCAACTCATCAAATAAAGGTAATGATGTCTCTTTGGTGGGCTTCATTTGAGTTGATATACTACAGCTTCTTGAATCCTGGTGAAACAATCAATGCCGAAATGTAGTGCTCTCAAATTGAAGCAATGCACCTGAAATTGGCATTATTATCTTTGGTCAATCGGAAAAAGGCCGATTCTGTGTTACACAACAGGGCTCGGCCACCATGTCTGACACGTGACAACACGAAAAATGTTGGATCTTGGTTAAGAGGTTCACCTCACCCTCCCTATAATTGAGACCTCTCACCTACCCACTACCATTTTTTCAGATAATTGGACGTTTTACAACTAAAAAATTTATTGATCAAAAGTCGTTAGAAAATGCATTTACAGAATTTGTTAATAGACTCAAAATTCTATTCAGGAAGAAGATCATTGCCATCATTTTGGGAGAAGTGTGTAGAGTGATGAAGGGTATTTTAATTAATAAAAATTGTTTAAAATCATTTATTTTACTGTTTTTATTTTATAACCATAAACGTGCATTATTTTCTGGACAACCCAATATAAACAAGAAAAAAAAATTCTGTCTGCATAAATATGTTGGCATCGACATACCTGGAAATTGAAGGACAGTTGGTTTATTTTAACATCCTGCTTAAGACATAAAAGGGTGGAACTACCACCCTTTAAAAATGTATTCCTGAAAAAAATAAATAAGTTTAAAAAGATCAAGTTAAACAGGGATTTAAAATGTATTTTGGTTTGCTTGACTTTCTTCCACAAGTTGTCCACAAAATAGGAACAAGGGAAAGACAACCTTTATGATGGAGGAATGTGAGTCTTATTTATTGTTAAATGGCATAGATAAAATTTGACAGATTACATTATATTGTGATATTTAACTGTGTGGCCTGTGGGATAATGAACCTGTTATTTAGTACTATTAAAAATTGCAGTTGTAAAATTTATAAAATAAAATAAAAAATTGACTTCAGGAAGTCTCACGGCTATGGATTAGGTTCTTATCATGTTTTGTATGATACAATATTTTTGTATTTCCTTTTGTATTTCTATGAGAACTGATTCAAGACTGACAAACTTATGTAATAAGCTGGTTCCCAGGGAATAAGAGAAAATTGTGACCTTTACAATGGAAGAATGTGATTCTTTCTCAATGGCATCAATAAAATTTCACAAATAATCTAGATCTCAGTACGGTCTAGATGAAAAAACAAATTTGTTATCTGCCAAGCTTTTGACGTATTTTAAAGTGATCATCAAGGCCTATATTAATTACAAATTATGAATACATTGGTATAGTTAATTCAAAAATCAATATAACTATATATATCTTGGGAGCATCTCAATGGTTTAGGCTTTGACATGGCGCTCATCACTGTGAGGTAAAGGTCCCAGGTTCAAAAGAAGAGGCCCTGCATTCGAACTCGACATACTTACGAATGGACTTTTTTCAAAATCACTGGCACTCCAGGGGTGTTGCAAACCCCCATTAAAAAAATAAGACAAAAAATAAATGAACATATCTTACAAAACAATCTTAAAGAATTCTAGAGATCCGGAGTATTTGTGAGTAAAAAGTTGATACATCTAACATACCTTAGATAAATAAAATTTGTTAAATATAGCTTTTTTATATTTTGTCACAACCATTTAAAACCTATTCCAAATACATTTAAACATATTCATCCATTTAGTATTAAACTTTTCATTTCCATTTAATATTTCTTCATTTTTCATTTTAATTTAAAATTTTCAATTTATTATTGAACGTTTTCCATTTTGATTTAGAGTTTCCATTAATTACTCAACTTTTTCTACTTTAATTTAAATTTATTAATATATTATTCAACTTTTTCCATTTCAATTTAAATTTACCCATTTAATATTCTACTTTTTTCCATTTTAATTTAAAATTTTCCATTTATTATTCAATTTTAATTTAATTTTTTGATTAATTTTAACCCAACCAAAACCTTAATTAAAGATTAATTAATTGAAAAGAATTTATTTGGTCAATCAGACCATGAAACCTAATAGATTTAATTTTTACATTTAATATTTAACTTTTTCCATTTTAGTTTAAATTTATTAATTTAATGTTCAACTTTTCCATTTATGTTGAAAATTTTTCCATTTAAATTTAAATTTGCCCCATTTGATATTCAACTTTTTTCATTTTAATTTCAACTTTTCCATTTATGTTTAAACCTTTTTCATTTTAATTTTAAAAATTTCATTTATTATTCAACGTTTCGATTTAATTTTAATTTTTACCTTTTATATTCAAAACTGTTTCCGTTTTTAATTTAAATTTTTCCAATTTTTCAACTTTCCAGTTTAATTTTAATTTTTCAATTTATTATTCAAATTTTTCTATTTTAATTTGGACTTTTCCATTTATGCTTTCTATTCTAAGCCTTGTAAAAATGAGAACAGCAATGTTTTTAGTAAGTAAAAGCAGAATAAGAAAGATGAATAAAAATGCTGCATATTAAAACGTGAAAAAGTATAATAAATTATACTATAAATACCTAAATTAAAAACTAAGTAATTTATTAAAACTTTAAATAATTTAAGCGCTTGTACTTGATGGTTTTTAACCATTAAAACTTTTCCAAAATTATTTGATCTGTTTCCAAATGTAATTAATTTTTTCCTGCCTAAAAAAAATTCAATTAATATAGTGATATTTAAAATTTGCTGTTCAATTTTTATGAAGTTTAAAATAAATATGAAAAAAAATTAAAATGGATCAAATATATGAGGAAAAGGTTTAAACATACTTGTCCAAGTTGAATTATAAATGGAAAAAAGTTTAAATAAATTTGCAAAAGGCAGAAATGAAAGTAAAAAAGCTATAGTTTGTAAGAATTCCCTGTGTGGTCTGCAGTGTGATAAACCTGTATTTGGTTGTTACCACTTGTCCCTGTCTACCTATCCTCACAGTTGGCCTTTCGCCATCTTCAGCGTGTCTACCAATAAACAATTTATTTTGTTCATTTAATTTACTATGGTGTGAAAAATAAGAGCTATGTATTAATACAGTGACTAGTTTATTAAACAGTGAATATTTAGGGTTTTTTTGCAAGGACAATTCAAAATCAATTTTGGTTAAAAATACTTGAATATTTAGATTTAAAAAAAAAAAATATATATGAGTTGAAATAGGTCTTGTTTTATGTTTCATTTCATGGTCATCAAGTACAAGCAAAACTACAACGTTAAAACTACTCAAATCTGTGGTCGAGAAGTTTTTGTTTGTCTAATAATAGAAGCGTTTTTTTTTTATTCGTTAATTCATTAAATAAAAGTCATATTTACGTGGAAGTGCTCATATCCAAACGCCAAAAGTCCAATCGGATTTATAAGGATGAAGAACGATACCAAGTATCAGACAAGGGTAAAAAAGTGAAGTTAATTGACGTCACGGTTTAAATTTTCTCAAATTAATAAAGCCGTTTTGGAAATATAAATTTCAAAAATATCGTTTTTTGCCTTTTAGAGGGAAACAAGATAAAAACGAGACGGACTGTGAAGTTGAAAACATTTTAAAATAAGAAAATATAATAAAAATAGTCATGTTTAAGCGTTTATATAAAATTAGGGTGATCTAGTGTGTGCTTTTGCAAAGCCATCATTAAAACAAATGCTCCAGTGATGGGTAAATACTTTTTGCCGGAGGAATTCCAGAGGTGAAAACTGTGAGTTACCTTCTCACAGAAACTTCCGCTCAAGATAATTCTCTTGATTAGAGCGCACGTGGGCAATTGTGCGTCTTGTTTCTTTTGATCGGCATATTTATATTCGTTCGTTGGAAAAACACTTTAATAAAGGTTTGTCATTTATTTATATTGAAGTTTTATTATTTATTTTTGACAATCAGGCATGTTAATAGGCGACAAAACAAAGAGAATATCAGTGAGAGGTTTACTTGTTCTTGTTTAACTAATTCTTATTTGTAGTATAGCATTAAAGCCAGCCTCGCATTAAAGTTTATTCTATTTTATGTTACTTGTTTCATATCCTCGAAAAAGTACTCTTTTTTTTTTTCTCTCTCTCTTTTTGTCAATCTGAAATGCTTACAGGCGACAAAACAAAGGGAATGTCAGTGAGAGGTTTACTTGTTTGTTTTTAACTAATGTTTATTTATATTATAACATTAAAGTCAGTCACGCATTAAAATTATTCAATTATATGTAATATATTTCATATCTTCAAAAAAGTTTTCTTTTTTTTTCTTTTCATTTTTATCAATCTGACATGTTAGTAGGCGACAAAGCAAAGATCATGTCAGTGAGAGGTTTACTGGTTTGTGTTTAACATTATTTGTTTGTAGCATAGCGTTAAATTCAATTGTGCATTAAATTTATTCAATTATATGACATATTTCATATCCTCAAAAAAGTACTCTTTTGTTTCTTTTCATTTCTATCAATCTGACATGTTAACAGGCGACAAAGCCAAGTCATGTCAGTGAGAGGTTTACTTTTTGTTTATTTTTTTTTTATAGAATTTATGTATAGTATACCATTAAAGCCAATCTCATATTAAAGTTTATTCTATTATAGGTGATATTTTTTAAATCCTCGAAAAAGTACTCTTTTTTTTCATCTTTTTATCAATCTGACATGTTAACAAGTGACAAAGCAAAGGTCATGTCAGTGTGAGGTTTACATGTTAGTTTATTTTTTTTTATAGAGTTTTTGTATAGTATACCATTAAAGTCAATCTCACATTAAAGTTTATTCTATTATAGGTGACATTTTTTAAATCCTTGAAAAAGTACTCTTTTTTTTCTTTCTTTCTTTTCATCAATCTGGCATGTTAACAGGCGACAAAACAAAGATCTTGTCAGTGAGCGGTTTACTTGTTTGTTTTTAACTAATGTTTATTTGTAGTATAGCATTAATGTCAATCTCACATTAAAGTTTATTCGATTATATGTGACATGTTTCATATCCTCGAGAAAGTACTTTTTTCTCTCTTTTTATCATTTTGCCCTGTTAACAGGCGAGAAAACAAAGTGAATGTCAGTGTGAGGTTTACTGTTAGTTTAGTTTTTTATAGAGTTTGTGTGTAGTATACCATTAAAGTCAATCTCACATTAAAGTTTATTCTATTATAGGTGATATTTTTTAAATCCTCGAAAAAGTATTCTTTTTTCTCCCTTTTTATCAATCTTGCATTTAACATGCGACAGAACAAGTGGTCTTCCCATTTTATCTTCTCTTCCTAAATCGTTCTCCTCATCAGATATTCAATATGCTACATGCCGTCTCATATCTAAAAGAGCTCCTGGATTCGTTCTGCAATCCCTGATATTTTTCTAGGAAATCCATAATGTTAATTAGCTATTAATTTAATTCAATGTGCAACCTATTTTCCACATTCCTAGAAATCCTAGCTGTATTATGCCAAACTTAAACAACACATACATTACTCTACTTCCTAAAGGTCCGTCAATGTGCTACCGATTCTAGGGAATGTACTAGAACGGCTTATTTTAAAATTAATCATCTCAATCCTTAATCCCCAAAAAATTATCCCCGACTATCAGTTTGGTTTTTCACAGCTCTTGCTTGGCTGTATAGCAGTATCACCACATTTTATTTATTTATTTTGTTTTTCTAATCAATTTTGCCATCCAGATTTGCAAAACTTTTGAGTTTAATTTTTTAATTTTTCCAAAAAAATTTATTCTGTTTTTGGTGTACAAAAATGAATATCAACTTTGTTTCTTGCTAAAAAAAAATCATTTTAGCCTGCTTTGCTAAGCGTTTGATCACTATGTCAAAATTGTATTTGGTACCTATGCCATAACATGGGATTTGTTGATTGTTGTGCTTCTTTCTCTCTCTCTCTCTCTCTCTCTCTCTCTCTCTCTCTCTCTCTCTCTCTCTCTCTCTCTCTCTCTCTCTCTCTCTCTCTCTCTCTTTTTTTTTCCCTTCAATGTAGTTAAATATGTTAGCTGCATTGAACGTCAAGATTTTAACTCTGTCAAACTTAGCCCTAAATTTGTCTTCTTTAAGTGTCCATCGGACTTTGGTCATGAACAAACTCTTGAAATTTGATTTTATATATTTTTACAGCTTACCAGATTAATAAGTTAATTGTTTTTGTTTTAGATTACAATCATGGTGAAGACACATTGTGGGGTTAAAGCCCCTCGGACGCAATCGATTAACCATTCACAACACAGCATGAATCCAGAAAGATCATCAGAAGGGTTAAAAGGTGTGGCACACGTCAGGACAAAAGGCACCATCAAACGTTTACAGATGTACCGCAAGTTCAAAGCCAAACGTGACAGATCCGGCAAGATCATTTGCCCCGCACCTTTTCAATCGTGGGTGTCATCTGGCACTGTCGCTCGAGTCGAACCCAACAGAAAATGGTTTGATAATTCAAGAGTGATCAGCCAAACCGCTTTACAAAACTTTCAAGAAGAAATTGGTCGAGCTGTGAAAAATCCGTATGATGTTGTTATGAAACCGACTCAGCTTCCTATAACGTTGTTAAATGAGAAGAGTAAGCACGCAAGAGTGCATTTGCTCGATACCGAAAGCTACGAATCGACTTTCGGTGCCAAAAAGACGAGGAAGAAACCAAATTTGAAATGTAAAGATGAAACACATTTTTCCGAAATAGTGAAAACTGAAAACGAACTGTATAAAGACGATAATGATTATGATAAAGTAAAGGAAGACACAGGGGAAAAAGTACTTGTCAAAGATTGGGTTATGGGTGCAGGCCAGAGCAAAAGAATCTGGAACGAGCTTTTTAAAGTTGTTGACTCTTCTGATATTTTGCTGATGGTTCTGGATGCAAGAGATCCACTTGGCACCAGATCTCATTATGTCGAACAATTCTTGAGAGATAACAAACCTCATAAACATCTTGTATTCATTTTAAATAAAGTGGATTTGGTTCCAACATGGGTCACCCAAAGATGGGTAGCGATACTGAGCAGGGAATATCCTACAATAGCATTTCACGCTTCGATGAATCATCCATTTGGCAAAGGTACACTTATAAATTTACTTAGACAATTTTCTAAATTGCACGCTGATAAAAAACAAATTAGTGTCGGCCTTGTTGGGTATCCAAATGTAGGAAAAAGCTCCATAATCAATTCATTGAGATCAAAGAAAGTTTGTAAAGTAGCGCCAATTGCCGGAGAAACGAAAGTTTGGCAGTATGTGACATTGATGAGAAGAATTTATCTGATTGATTGCCCGGGTGTCATATATGCAACCGGAGAGTCTGAACATGACACGGAGAAAGTTTTAAAAGGAATTGTTAGGATAGAAAATGTCCAGGAACCAGAGCAATACATCCCGGCTTTACTCAATAAGATAAAAAAAGAATATATATGTCGGACTTACGGAATTGACAATTGGGAAGACGACACGGATTTTTTGCAAAAGATGGCCGAGAAAACTGGGAAGCTTCTTAAAGGTGGAGAGCCTGATGTCCATATTGTCTCGAGGATGGTGTTAAACGACTTACAGCGAGGAAAACTGCCTTACTACACACCTCCTGTTGGATTTGAGGTGCCTAAATCCCAAGAAGCTTCAGAAGGCACAAGTAACAACAACGCGTCAACTTCGCATCCGTTTGAATTAGTTCAGGACTTCAGCAAAATCAGAGTTGGCCTTGAATTTCCAGGCGAGACTAATGTCTTGGAGCCTATTAAGAGTCTTACTAAGGACGAGAGTAAGAAAGTCATCGAACAAAGCGAAGAATCTTCAAGTAGCGAGGAATCAGAAGAAGAAGAAACAAACGAACCAGATGAAACTTATACTGGGCCTAATTTGACAAGCAAAGAACGAAGAAGAATAATGAGGCAAATGAGGAGAAAGAAAACAGGAAGCAACTTTTATCAAGTTGCAAATGTTAAAAACCGCAATAGAGAACGTAAAATACCAAAATAACACAATATGTTAATTTGTCTGTTGTTACCTTCTGTTTTTCGGTATTATAAATATATATAATCTTGATTAAATGCATTGTATTCTTCCTTGCTTGTACATCAAATATATTTATGATGTGAGTAATCCTTGTTTTAGAATTATTGTATGAAGGACTGAGAAGTGGTTAGGGTATCTGACTTGTAATTGCCACACTAGCAGTCCTCGGTTTGAATCCCATCACAGCCTATGGTTTTTTAATTGAGAATAGTATGAAAGAAGTGTTGTAAAATGGTTTGACCCCTCATCTGCGACACCCAAAGGGTGCAGTACATTAATCCCTCCTGTATAACAGTAAGATGTTAGAAAATAATACATATATTTTTTATTTGTGGTGATTGGTGATCGTTAATCGATATTTATTTAGAAATCGTGAGATGCGGTCTGGTGTGATGTAGGTTTCAGAAAAACATTTTCTTTTTCGTGACAACGTTTCGCTCTTTGTTGAGATCATCTTCAGGGCCTGGGATTTACAAACATTGTTTACATATTACAATTACATTTTGAATGTGGAAAAGTGAATTTATACAATGCAAAATATATTTTATATATTCAATCAAAGTATTTCTACTCACTCAAAGTGTTTGTCTTCTGTGTAATTGTGTCATTCGTGCATGTCGTGTCGAGAGTGCCAGTGAGATTTTGCTATTTTATGTTTATATACGTTGGATTTTGAAGGGGTGGGGAAGGAAGTCGGTATAGAAAAGACATTTTTGTATAAGGTGTCGGCTTCTTTGAGGTGAAAGGAAACGAAGGGAAAAAATGTGATGGTTCGACCAGATTATCCTTTCAGGATTATATAGAAAGGGATAAATAGGAAAAGGAAAGCTGAATTGTTGGGAAATTAAGACTATGTGAAAAATATTTGATGTGTGGAATATAATGTGATGATATAGGTATGTTATCTGTATTGAATGTGATTAATGATATTGGCGTAGCTGCGACTGAGTTTACATGTATCTGTTCTGTAATTGATGCTGTGTTTATCTCGGTTGATATAAACCATTTCTAAGAAATTACGTTTATGTTTGTTTTGTTCTGTATGTAATATTTTTGGATTTTTGAAGTCGAAATTGTGTTTGTGTTCAAAATGGTGGGTAGCGAGTGCTGTAGGATTTTGCTTGGGTTTTTTGCAATCATAGATATGCTGCTTTACTCTCTTGTCCAGATATTGGGATTTAAGATCGATGTAAGTTGCCGGACAGTTTAAACAGTTGATCTTGTAGATTACGTCAGATTTATTTGGTATTGGTGTGGGATCTTTAATTTTGGAAAAAAGTGTTTGAATTGTTTTATAATTTTTGAAAGCTATTTTGAAGTTTTCGGACAAGAGAAATGTGTTTACTTTGTATGATAGGCCTTGGATAAATGGTATGGAAATGTATGTGGTCAAAGAAGCCGACACGTTATACAAAAATGTCTTTTCTATATCGACATCCTTCCCCACCCCTTCAAAATCCAACATATATAAACACAAAATAGCAAAATCTCACTGGCACTCTCGACACGACACGCAAGAATGACACAATTACACAGAAGACAAACACTTTGAGTGAGTAGAAATACTTTGATTGAATATATAAAATATATTTTGCATATATAAACATGCATTGTATAAATTCACTTTTCCACATCCACAATGTAATTGTAATATGTAAACAATGTTTGTAAATCCTAGGCCCTGAAGATGATCTCAATAAAGATCGAAACGTTGGCACGATAAAGAAAATGTTTTTCTGAAACCTACATCAAACCAGACCACATCTCACGATTTCTAAATAAATATTTTTTATTGTTGAGATGCTATGCTTCTTCAACAGGAATTGACCATTTTTGCATTACTGGAGAATATGCATGGGTTGGGTTAGAAACATGATAAGAAAATAATTTTTGCAAGTTAAAGTCTACTGTCCTGAAAGTGTAGATGTGCCGTTTACAGCTATGCTTGCTTTACTTAGGAGAAAGAATTAAAATCGGGGTATCTTTGTCAATCCGCCTTATTTATTTTGGCATCGTACATGGCCATTATAAGCCAAAAATCACACTTCCATGCTTATTCTAAAAAATCCTAAATTGTAGGTTCTAATGATATGGTCATTCCTGATTTTTCTTGAACACTTGAGCCATTTTTCAAGTGATTTTTTATGATAGGAAGCCTTATCAAAGTCTGCCACTACTATGTTTAATATGATGTAATTGTCTCTCAATATACCAAGGTGAGCAAAGGGTTTATTTTATTTGTACGATTTGTTTATACCTACACATATTATAAAATGCAGAATTGAGATAACCCTAGCTTTTCATTTTTTAAATGAGAGTATTTCAACTACGAGGTTATATGAACCCTCAGGGTGCTGGTGTTTTTTAATAAAAAAAGCCCATTGGTAAGTTTGAATGCAGGGCCACTGAATTTGACCCCGGGATCTTTCCATTACAGCAATGAATACGATGTCAATGCCTAAACCATTGCCGCCACTGACACCCCCTAACCATGGCTTTAAGAAAGAAGATCATTTCTAGGGGGCAATATGTTGAATTTATCATACCCTTATTTTAAAATATATAATTGAGACAAGAATCATGTATTCCTTACCAAATTTCAAGTTATTTTAGTTTTTTCCATTTTTATTGTATAATAGTACAGGAACTTTCTTAATTTATTATCATCTACATATGAAATAATAAATGTAACAAGTGTGATATTAATATAAGAAAAAATATTAGGCCACGAACGCTTCCTTGTGGAACACCATTTGTACATTGTACAGGTGGGAGAGATTCTCCCTGTGTTTTATTTATTTTTGTCCAGGCTTGTTATTTTAACTAATGTAGGAGTATAGTTTTCAGACACTCTTACAATGCTGTTTTTTTTTCTTTTTATAATAAACTGAGGAACATTTATCTTTTAGTTTTAGGAAATACTTAGCTTTCTGAACTATCTGAATTTATAGAATTTAATAAAATAAGAGAATTTACCTTCTAATTTGAAATTGTCTGTTGGTATTTATTTCAAATCAAATTTTGTACAAATTTTTCAAGGAAGTTGTATTGAAATAAATGAAGAGAAAACCCTAGCTTTAAGTAACATAGTTTATGCTCTGCTTTTTATTTATTTATTTTTTTTTTATAACCATGGTTTTTTCTGGCATGATATATGACAAATTTGAAGATCATTTCTATGGGGAGAATATGTTGAATTTATTATACCCTTATTTTAAAATAAATAATTGAGACAAGCATCATATACTCTTTACCAAATTTCAAATTATTTTAGATTTTTTTTCTCTATTTTTATTGTATAACAGTACAGGAACTTTCTTACTTTATTATCATCTACATATGAAATAATAAATATACACGGTGTGATATAACTATTTTCTATTACTATATAACTATAATTTCCATTCTAGTTTTAAATCGTCCATTGGTATTTCTTTCAAATCAAATTTTGTACAAATTTTTCAGAGAAGTGGTATTGAAATAAATGTGTACTTGAGAAACCCCTAGCTTTAACTAACATAGTTATATTAAAAAAAAAATAATTAACTTTTCTTTATAAACTTGTTTTTTTTTTCTGGCAAGATATATAACGAATTTGAAGGTCATTTATAGGGGGGAATATGTTGAATTTATTATAACCTCATTTTAAAATATCGAATGGACAAAAGCATCATTTATTCTTTACCAAATTTCAAATTATTTTAGATTTTGTTTTTCTATTTTTATTGTATAATAGTACAGGAACTTTTTTACTTTATTATCATCTACATATGAAATAATAAATATAACAATAATAAATATAACAAGTGTGATATAACTATATAAGAAAAAGTATTGGGCCAAGAACTCTTCCTTGTGGAACCTATTCGTACAGATGAGTTTCAAATGATGATGATGATAAAAAAAACTTTAGTTTTGGGGCATAAATAGTACAGGAACTTTTTTCTTGTATTTATTTAAAGTACTTGTCTTTCTGAACTATCTGAATTTACACAATTTAATAAAACAAGGGAATTATCGTTCCAATTTGAAATCCAACCAAATCCGTTTGTATTTCTTTCGAATAGAATTTTGTGCATAGTTTTCAAAGAAGTGGCACTTTCTTTGCCAAGTAAGCAAAATGGAAGCCAGTACCAGGTACTTTGCTGGTCTGTGATAACACAAACCTGATACTGGTACTCCTGACGCGGGGCCCGTTTGGCGGGAGAAGGTTAAATACGCCTTCCTGCACAGGTCTAACTCACATCGTTGACTCGTCTCACTTTGTTTAAATTTGTTTTTGAATGTGACAGTTTAATTTAAAGTGAATAATTTTTTTCTCTTTTTGCCGAGATGACGACTAATTTAAACACGAGCACCGCAGACACGGAAATCGCCGAGGATGTCTACGAGAAAAGTTTCAATCTCATCGCTAAACTTCAGGTGATTAGGTTTTTCTGCCTTTTATTTGACATTATTTAAGGTTTTTTTTCATTGAAAATCATATTCTGCCAATTTTATATTCGTAAATTTATCTATTTCAATTAGGTTGTTTACTAAAACATAAAATATCCAGCCAAATTCATGTTTACATTGCTTTATTCTTCGTTTAAAATGTACCTCCACAGTTTTAGCATTTAGTTTGTTATTTTAAATTACAACAACTTTCAGAAGGTTGATTATTGTTTGAAATAATTGGGAAAAAGGCTAAGTGCAATATGACAGCTGCAACATGATTGACAAACAATTTTGCATAATGAAGTATAACTGTCATTGTAAAACTGTTTTGGTTCAGACTTTGCTAAATTGTGATATCGCAAGTTATAAAGATGTGCTTAAATTACTAGGCAAGGCTACGTACTGAATCTACTATTATCTGTTTTGTTTTTGAATCATATTAATTAAACATCATGGAAATTAATTAAATGTGTGGTGATTAGTGACCGTTAGTCGATGATTATTCGGAAACCGTGAGATGCGGTCTGGTGTGACGTAGGTTTCAGAAAAACATTTTCTTTATTGTGCCAACGTTTCGATCTTTATTGAGATCATCTTCAGGGCCTGGGATTTACAAACATTGTTTAAATTTAACAAATACATGTAGGATGTGGAAAAAAGTGAATTTATACAATGCAAAAAAATATTTTTATATTCAATCAAAGTATTTCTACTCACTCAAAGTGTTGTTTTCTGTGTATTTGTTTATAAACGTAAAACAGCAATATCTCACTGGCACTCTCAACACGACATGCAAGAATGGCACAGTTACGCAGAAAACAAACACTTGAGTGAGTAGAAATACTTTGATTGAATATAAACAATATTTTTTTGCATTGTATAAATTCACTTTTTTCCACATCCTACATGTATTTGTTAAATTTAAACAATGTTTGTAAATCCCAGGCCCTGAAGATGATCTCAATAAAGATCGAAACGTTGGCACAATAAAGAAAATGTTTTTCTGAAACCTACATCTCACCAGACCGCATCTCACGATTTCCGAATAATCATAGAAATTAAAGTAGACCTGTATACTAACGACAATCCGTCTTACAAAAGAGCTTTTCTAAGTCATAGGAATATTATGAGACATCTTTGGATGAATTTGGACAAGGTAAAACTTAGTTGCTTTCAAGATAGTAAGGTCAGGGCATAGAGGTGAGCAATGCCTACCTTGGCTGTACTGTTTCAACTTTATCCCCTTTTTTTTATATTAACAAAAGAATAAGGTACAACAATGGTTAAGGAATACTTTCTACTTATAAACTAAGTATTGTGAAAAGGAGCCTAACACCCTCGCAGTCCAACAGTAATTCGAACTTTTGTAATTTGCAATATATTACCGACGGGCTTTGAGGATCACCCACCCAGGGGTCAGTCATCAGTCTTATCTGCCTCGTTACCGAGGTTGGGTTCTGGGTGCTGTCAACAACTAAGTGACTGAAAGCTAGCTTACGACAAATGTGTAAACACACTCTGTGCTACCCTCACGAGGGGCACGTTACTAGCCTACAGGCAAAAGGATTTTGTGAACTAAATATACGATATGCACGCGCCCGGTCTCAAGGGGCTCGGTAACGCGTGTTTAAAGAACGAAGGTTGTTAGACGAGTCGGGGTATGGGGCGGTGGATGTCGGCTAAGGCCGTCTGGTATACCGTCTCACACTATCCGACTCGGGCTTGAGAACGCTTCCCCGGTCAATTCAGCACCCAACGCAGTTCCTAAATCCAAACCCATTCATCATTAAATACATTCCTTCCTATTTACATACTGTTCACTCAATTGGTTGTAGAGTACTTAATATTTGCCCTCTACACATATTATAAAACTCACCTAATTGTGGTCAATGGGGTAATCAATATTCTGCCATAGACTATCTCACACTACACATTCACGCTAATAAATACCTTCACTTTCAATGCACACTAGGTATTCAAAACTATCATTACTATATACAATAAAACAACCCTGTTTACTCTAAAATTCAGAACAGGGTACCCAGATACTCTCTGCTGTGCACAAGTACAATTTTCATATCGGGTGGCATTCCTACATGCTTTCTATATGAGGCCAAGGAGTTGCACCCTTTAATTAGGAGGGACACATTGTGCAACCTTCTCTGCATACTGGACACATATGCGGGCTTTGGCCCAAAAGAAGTGTCCGTGTGTCAACCTTGCCTGGCCTTTCTTTAATCATATGAGGATGACCCTTTTTCTATGAGTCAGATACTCTGGGGGACACATCTTGTCTCAGCTTGTAATAGTTTATTTGCCAATCTGGCCCATCTTATAAAATTTGCAGATGATTTTAAGGATTCTTCTTTTAACTTGAGAATTTAAAAAAATATATAAAATTAGTTCTTGTATAAAATACCGCATGATAGTTATTTTCAGTTAAAATTAAAAGTTAAATAAAATTAAATATAAAGACAAATGGTTTTTCTATTATTTAAAGATTAAAAAAATAAATAAAATGTTTTATAAACCCACTAGTTTTCGTGGTCCGCTTGACCAATTAATATCATTGAATTAAGGTTTTAAGTTGAGATAAAAAAAGTCAGTGTCACAAGCGGGATTCGAACCCACGACCTTCGGCTTGATACGCCGCTACTCTACCACTTGAGCTATCATGACTTCGTCACGTGAAGTCACGATAGCTCAAGTGGTAGAGTAGCGGCGTATCAAGCTGAAGGTCATGGGTTTGAATCCCGCTCGTGACACTGACTTTTTTTATCTCAACTTAAAACCTTAATTAATTCAGTTTTATAAACCATTTATTTCATATTAAACAAAAATTGCAAAATTTAGGAATTTTACTTGACATGCTTATATTTCATACCATCTCCTAAGTTTTTTATCATTTTATAGAACGGGTTAATTTGAATTTAAAAAAGGTTAATTTGAACAAGCCATTTGTGCAGTTTGATTTGTCAGTGAAAACACAATAAGGACCCTGTATTTTACTCAGAATCTTCTTCAGCTCTTTGTTTTATACTATTGGGAGAGTAGAAGTTTTTGAAAACCTTTTAAGTCCCGTTTCACTTCTGGTATAATTAAGTTCCAAGGTGGAGTTCAAATGGCTGATTGCCTGATCTAATGTTTAGTTAAAGTCAATTTGAAGTTAAAAAGGGTTAATTTGAAATTTTAAAGAAGTTGTTAATCAGTCAACATGTTAATGTGTCGCCTTTTTACAGTTTTGCCTAAATCTTTTGGCAAATATTTAATTTTATAATTGTTATTGTTGAAAAAAATGATTCCTGAACTTTATTTAGGTTGGAGGAATCGGTGCCAGTGATATAAAAAAATTGGTCGAATCTGGATATTGTACAATAGAATCCGTTGCATACACACCAAGAAAAAACTTGTTAGCAATTAAAGGAATCAGTGAAGCAAAAGCTGACAAAATTTTGGTAAGATTTTTGTTTAATGTCTAACCAATAATGAAGATGTTTTTATCGATGAAACATTTTTAGACTGAAGCAATGAAACACGTTTCAATGGGTTTCACAACAGCATCTGCAGTGTATATGAAAAGAGCTGAGCTAGTTATGCTAACTACGGGTTCTTCTGAACTCGACAAACTTTTGGGCGGAGGAATAGAAACTGGTTCTCTCACAGAGCTGTTCGGCGAATTCAGAACTGGAAAAACCCAGCTTTGCTTCACTTTAGCTGTTACATGCCAAGTAAGATTTTTGAGAAACGAAAAACCTAGTTTAATTTTTTAATTGAAAATTTTAGCTGCCTATAGATAACGGCGGTGGTGAGGGTAAATGCCTTTATATCGACACCGAAAACACATTCCGCCCAGAAAGAGTTATGGCAATCGCTGAAAGATTCAACATGGATAAAACTCTCACGCTTGACAATATCATTGTAGCGAGGGCATTCAATACAGATCACCAAAAAAACCTTTTAGTCCTGGCTGCAGCCATGATGACAGAATCCAGGTATTTTAAACATCAACTCAATTTAAAGTACAGAGTTGAATTTTTTTTTTTAATTTTTCAGATATGCCTTGTTGATTGTAGATAGCATAATATCGTTATATAGAACAGATTACGTAGGAAGAGGTGAACTCTCTGCAAGGCAACATCACCTTAACTTATTTCTACGAATGCTTCAGCGTTTGGCAGATGAAGTAAGCAATAAGCATTAGATATTCGTTCACTTCTTCATTTTTGTTAATTAAAGAAAAAATCTGTTCACATAAATTGAATAATTTTGTTAATTTTTAAAAATAATTCTTTTAATCAGTTTTTGTTGAGTTTTCAAATGTTTTTACCTTTGGCGGCTAGTTATAGGAAAAGGTGATGGTAATCAGAAGTAGCAAAATCCAAAATTGATAATCATGATGTAGTAAAAATTCTATTTTGCATAATTTTGTAAAACTTTACTTTGCTTTCTATCTACACCATAGCTTATTATTAATCTCATACATGCTTTTCTCTTACAAATCCCATTTTTTAAAAGAACTCTGTACTATAGAGATTTTTTTCTTTGGTGATTGATCAGCCTTCTCAGTTTAAATATATTTTTTTCTTTCCAAAAGGTAGATTGGGGATGAGGCCAGGAAGAAAGAAACAACATTTATTTTCTTGTCGAGCTTTCGGCAGAATATATCGCCTTCATCAGGACTTCAAAAAAAAATCGTTATACTATATGAACAGGTACATGTGTGGATAACGGATAGCTGGTAGAACCCCCATATCCGTTATCCATACATGTACCTGTTCATATAGTATAACGATTTTTTTCCGAAGTCCTGATGAAGGCGATATATTCTGCTGAAAGCTCGACAAGAAAATAAATTTTGTTTCTGTCTTCCTGGCCTCATCTCCAATCTACCTTTTGGAAAGAAAAAATATATAGAGATTTTGTAAACTGGCAGTTTCCTTGCTCATCTTTTTATTTAAACCAATTTAACCAAGAGTGCTTAAGAAACTTGAGTAACTGTAGAAACCCTGATGCTAAGTTATTATACTTTTGTAAGTATATGCAGTTTTCAACTCTTTGACTTTTTTCCAAATAAGGACTCCAACCTTTACTGTACTACAACCTATATAAGTTTATTTTGGCATCACTATTATTAAGACCATAAGTACTTTTTCCCACAAAACTAAGCACTTTTTTCGGTTTCTCTTCCTGTACTTACATAGGTGTGAGCATTGACTTACCAAAGTCTGCATACATGTGGGTTAGTGTCGTACATGAAAAAGTATAACTGTCTATATATATATCTTGCTATATCTTTTGAGCGATTATCCACCAATCTGGTGATTCCTGTTCCATTTCATTCATCACAAAGAAAAAATCAGGACAAAGTCCAGTGATGGAAATTGTGCTGAAATAATTGCTCTTTAGTTATGTATGCTAGTGCAAAAATATAGGAAACAACATTAACGATTTACTTTAAAATATGTTTTGTAATATTTCTTTCCAATTTTATAGTTTGGGGTTGCAGTTGTCATGACAAATCATGTGATAGCACAAGTAGACGGAGGGGCGGTGTTTTGTGCAGATCCTAAGAAACCTGCCGGCGGTCATATAATGGCACATGCTTCGACTACCAGGTAAAGTCTTGTCAACTTAGTTTAACGTTTCTCTACTCCACCCTTTTTATTGTTAGTCCTTAACTATTATTTTATGTATTTTATTTTGGGTTTTAGGTTGAACTTGAGGAAAGGACGTGGGGACATAAGAATTTGCAAAATTTATGATTCACCTTGTTTACCTGAGGCTGAAGCTATGTTCGCAATTACTGACAAAGGGGTAAATGATGTTAATGAATAAAAATTTGCCTCTTTTTATTGTTTCATGTGTACATTTTTAAATTATTGATGAATAAATATTTATTTTTGTTATATTTCTTGTGTTTTTATGGATTTATTTAATTTTTGTGTCTATTTTTATTCAAATGTCGAATGCTATTTTGTAACTTATATTTGATTAAATTTCAATAAAAAAAAACCTATCCCAAAACCTTAGTGACATCTCTCTATGTCATTTTGCCACAAAATCCTTTGAGAAATCCTGAAAAGCAAAATGTCATTTCAGGCAACATCAGTCAAAAGAAATTCTGCTTGAGTGCTTTCCTAGATGTTAGGCAAGTCTTTGATCGAATATGGCATCCGGGCTTGCTTCGGAAACTCAAGTTCATCCTCATCTGTCCAATAAGTACTTTCAAGTACAAATTGGAACATCCTTCTCATAGACTATGCCAAAGGGGGTGTTCCACAAGGCAGCATCCTTGGTCCCACACTCTAGATATTTCTAACGATCACAATACAGTAATCACATTTGCATACTATACCGCCATTCTTACAGTAAACCTAGATCCTGTAGGCTTCAGGAACATCCAGGACTATTTTCTGTTTTGATGAATGGTTAAAAAATGGAGGATCATACTCAACAAAACCAAACCTTTACTCTTTCCCTTATTGTTGTCAATCTACTGCTACTCTGATCCTCTACCAGCAACCAATGTCATCCTTTATTTGGGACTTTACATTGTTAAGGTTTACTTTGAACCACTGCACTTGACTCAAAAGACTATTGACAACAGATTTAAATCTTTGCTACAAAATAAACTCATTTACACTTCATTACTAAAGCCAATCTGCAGCATTCCAACCTGTAGAGTCCAAAATCCTTCAAATTATTGCCTAAGCTCCCTACTTTGTATCCAACTGCAAGAAGTACAATACAGATGCCTGCATAAAACCCTAGATCCTAGTCCAACACCTTTCATTCTGAACCATCCTTACAATCCTCTTAAAAGCTTAAATCGTCAATGGCTCACGATTACCTCTCTAGTGAAGAACGGAATAGTGCTTTGATAGGATTGTAATTAATGGATTATTTCTTCACTCTTATACAGTGAAAAGTATGTGTTGACCATGATTGAACAGTGTGCCACTGGTGATATTAGCCACCATGTCTTCACAGCAATGCTTTCGGCAGCTAAAGAAGAAAGAGGATAGAACAAGAGTGGGAAGCGATTCCTCTCTATTAGAGTGGTCCACGGCATTCCAACCAGCAACTTATATCATCAGCTTCAGCCACTCAACTTTCTACAATACAGAGACATCAAGCATCAATCCAGAGCATAGGCCGTATCAACCCTCGTGGGGTCAGTGTTTTTCAAAAACAGCCTGTTTGTAAATATGTGTTGTTCAAATCCAGTGGCCCTGCATTTAAACCCGGGACGCCATAACACTGACACCCCCTCAAATTTCCCCTTTTCCACTCTTATGTCATTAATCACAGTTGGTTAATGAGAGCAACTTCTATTAGAGATCTACGCGTCATCTTTGATAGTAATCTTACCTTTTAGCACATTTTCAAGAAATCAAAAATCACTCTTCTAAAACGTTTGGGTTTATCACCTGAAGTACCTATCAGATCAAAATAATTCTTTGTCCATCTAAATAATTTATTTATACGGCCTATTGAGGAATATGTCTCAATCATCTGGAATCCTCACTACTATACTGATAGAAAACTACAAATCATTCAAAATAAATGCCTTCGTACATTATATTTCAAGTAGATTATCACAATGATAAATCCTTTCAGGCTTCCATTAAATTTTGGTTCAATATTCTTGATCTTAGCAAGGCAGAAGAAAGCGTTTTTAGATTATTTTTATGCTCAAATTAATTAGTTTATAGATTTCCCCAGAAATCCTTGGTAAATAACAATTTTATGTACCTCCTTGCCACATATAATGTAATACAACACTTGATTTATTTAATACTTCTGTTTCCTCTTTAAAACATCAGTTACTTAAAACAACAATTTTATTTTGTACACAAAGTCTAAAAATGTACTGTGTATGTACGACAAATTTCGTCAAGTGTTTGTACATCTCAAATGCAACAAACAATACAAAAGTTGTAAAAACCAACTTTAACCTAATAAAAAAAAGAAAAATTAATGTAATTTGGTTGTTCACAATGTTTATTGTCTCCTTTTTGTGTTTTTATTTTGATTTTTATGTTGAATTTTTCTTTTTTGCTTTTTACAACTTCTGTATTGATGTTATTTTTCTTTTGTATATGTTTTGTGTAGATATTTTTCCAATTTTTCTGGTTTGGTTGGTCACTATGTTCATTGTCTTGTTTTATTTAATTTTTCTTTCTTTTTGTGCTTTTTATTAAGTCAAAGTAAGGAAATAAAGTTTGGTCCTGGACAAAAAGTTGAATTACTATATTAACTTCATTCCCCCTTTTTCACACCGTCACATTCTTTTTTCCCATTATAAAATTTCTGCATTTTGGTTCGATGTAATTAAAGAAAAAAGTATACTGCTAGAAAGCTTATTAAACGAAAAAGTTGTTATGAAATTTTCCAAACTCTACCATGAATTTTTCCAGTGAGGTTGCAAATTTATTTGTTTTTCAAATTTAGCAGTTTGTGAAAACTTTTTTGTTTGTTTTTATACCCAAATTTAAATTAAAAGTTCTAGAAGGGTGTCTCCTTAAAGAAATTGAACACTCTTTTCAATAGTTTTTTTTTATATTCCCAAAAATTAATAGTTCAATACTTCAAGTACTACGACTCATGATGAAAACTGTAGATAGTCGAGAAAAAAACAAACATAAAATGCTGAATATCTGCGAAAGGTTGAGAATTGGACCGTGGTCCCTACAAACTTTTTTGTTCCGTTTGAGGTGTAGAAGCACCTGATGAAATTCAGTAATTTAATGAGTCAGTAATCGACCCTGTGTATGATATTAAAAAAAATGAAAAATAAATACTAGTTGTTATATGTATACAGGGTGTTTAATTTAAATCTTTATTTTTCTTTTATTAATAAGGATTTTATTGTCTCTTTCATTTATATCTTTTTTGTGTATAGTATAGTGATTCATTTCTATTCTTTATTAATGTTGAGTTATTTACAAAAATTGTATTGTATATACAACTTTCTCCTTCACTTTTGTACATTTTATTGAAGAATTGATTTTTGACCTCTGAATGAATAATTCAAACAACAATGTATCTATATAAAATTATTCTATTCTAACAGAATCGTTTCAGTTTAAAAAAAAAATTATTTATCGTATTATGGAGGTGTACGTATGATGCATGTTTGTTTGATGTAACAAACCTGTAAATTTTTTCATGATGGCTCAAAATCCATGACGATATTAGAAATTGGGAAAGCAGTTGATCATACTTTAGGAAATATATGTATTTATCTAGAAATATTTTGTACAACAGAATATCTTTTAATTATCTAAACATATATATTAAACAAACATTTGGACTGTGGGATAACTCTTAAACCTAGACATTGATTTTATAATAACTGTACATTTTATCTCACACCCTCTCGTTTCGTCTCTTTCAGGATCTCTTTCTCGCCCTCACCCTCATTCACTCTCTCTATTCTCATTACTACACACCAATTTCTGTAAAGGATCTAAAAAAAACAAAAACAAATTCAATTACTCATTCATTTTGATATGTGTCTTTAATCACAAATTTTAGAGAGCTATTTGCTTGACATGGAAATATAAAAATGTACTTATAGACCTTAAAGACTGCTTGGCAGTATATTAAAGTACAAATAACTAGTGGCATTTTTGTTTTGCTTCAAACATTGTAATGAAAAAAAAACATAAATTAACTATTGGCAAGAAAAAAAGCACAACCAAAATTAACAAAAAAAGTCCTCTAATTATAGAATAATACAATAATAATGGCACATTTTACTGCATATTATTAAACATTCAAAATTGTATTCTTCTATTTATTTGTCTTACTTTACTTATCTTTTTTTTATATTTAAAAAATGCATATAACTAATATTAAACATGCAAGCTTACTCTATTTGTCAGTACATCAGATATGGCAAAACATTACTATAACCATATTGCAACAAAATATTACTATAACAACAGATATATTCACAAAAAAACCAAAAAAGAACTAATAATTATTTATAATCCAACTTTATATATTGAGTAGAAAATCTAAATAAGCATATTGTACATTTATCAAGAGTATTAGAAAGATTTAATCCTATTTTATTATTGATAATTTTCATGAATGGATATATATATTTTTTTATAAGCGTTAAGCTCACGTCATGGAGAGTCAACCAATTTTCAACATTGTTATACACAAATTTACATTTTTCGTAAATAAATGGTGTGATTATTTAAAAAGTCTTTATTATTTCATTTTTTCAATTCTGGCCAAATATTATTACTATTGTTTTTTTTTAGTGTTTGTTTTCAAAATAGAGTACTTTTGTAGTTTGTCTATGTTTTCTTTTATACATAGTCATGTTTTTTTGTAAATATTTTTTAATTTCAGTAAAATAGAAAAACCTATTAATCACATTGCACAATATCTCAAATTTGTCCGCTTTTGAATGACGGTTCTAGCACTTTCTAGCAGGAAAAATCAAGTTGAAACATTCATGTTTTCTTTTTAAGAATTTTGAAACTGCTGGGAAATGCAAATATGGCAACTAGACATAAAAAAATTATTTGTTAAAAAAAAAAGTCATAATCATTCTTAATTTGTTTACTTCGAATAAAGACTAGTACTTGTTTTGTAAGACTTAAAATCAAATTTCAAATAAAAATTATTACAGAGCGACTTGTCCAATTTACTCTGTCAGTAAAGGAACAGAATTAAATAATGGAAATTAGAACCGTATAAATTAAAAAAAAAATCTAATCTTTCTGGGTGAAACGTGATCAAAATTGTGTAGCGTAGTGAGATCAGACACGACGAATAATATATTTCCATTTAAAAGTACTCTATTTTAAATCACTTATGATTTTACCAGTATTCAGATTTTTTTTAAACATATTTTTTTAATACTTAAATAATTTGGCACTTATAAACAATACACGAGTTATAATTTAATTACATAAAAAATGTATTGACAAAAAGCTCGTAACAATAACTAAGCTTTAGAACATGACACATAACACCTTACATGTAACTAAATACTAAAGAGGGTGAAAATAATTATGTGAAAGTAATACATATGTTTATATGTATGTTATATATATAACTGAAATAAATTAGGCAAGACTTAGTTTCAAATTCTAATCTTTTTTTTTTTTATTACAGCTAATTTGCTTCACAATTGCGCAAACATTGAGTTCTGCAGTGATTTTCAATATTTTCATTTTCTACCTTTATAAAAATATAACCGATAAAAATTAGAACAATTGTATTATACAAAATCTTGGCAATCCCTTATTTATATCATTTCATTTTTTTTTCATTAAAAAAAAAAAAAAGAAAAACAAACAAACAAAACAAAACTCCAGACAAATTTGTAATAACAATTTAACACATTTTTCAGGTACTCTATTAATGAGTGTGTGAGTGCATTATATAATATTTGCCCAATGAGCCTCAATAAAATATGGCAAGAAGTAGTAAGTACTTGTTTATATCTAAATATTTGAGCGATTATCATATTATTGTAAATATGACCTAAAACTAATATTTTGATTACATATGGTACCATGTTACAATGGATAGACACTTATATGGCAAGTTGTTAAATAAAATCACCAATCTTGAGATCACACTTTAACCTAAAATAAAATGTTGATGAGCTAAAGGATCGTTTATAATATGCAACTGAATCTTGAAACACATGCATTATATAATATTCATTTTCTTAAGTATATAATATATAAAGCTCTTATTATATAGAAATGATCATTTTAAAGCCAATAATATTAAAATATACCTGGTTTATATGTCTAAACTTTTCTCATAGGTGTATAAAAAATATTTAGCGCTCAATGTCTGCATTTTGAACTTGAAAGTCCAACTCATTAACATTAATTAATTTTTTTTTTATATTCCAGAAAGATAAAACCAATATTGTATAAATTTTTTTCCATATCAAACTTAAAAAAATGAATCAACAATATTAACATATCTACCAAATCTATATAATAAAAATAAAATTTCTTTTTAAGAAATAAAAAATAATAATTGAAAGAAAAATAAGTGATTTTATACTTATAGAAAACAATAGATTTTTTATTTATTATTTTTTTTTTAATTGTGAAACATTCACACTTTTCATGAAAACAATAATGAATGGCCATAACAATATATAATTAAATGCTATTATATGTCTGAGAGTTCCACGAGCACAACATCTAAGAGATCTTCACTTTCTTCAGAATGCCGTACTTCAAGCAAAAACACATCTTCGTTGCAATAATAAGTGAGCATCTCTTCATCAATTTTGGCCATAATCCTGTTACAACAAAAGAAAAAAAATTGTTTAATTAAGAGGATACATTGAAAAAAAAAAAGAAAAGAAGCGAAAATTGTGTTAAAGCTTTGATTATATTATAAAGTACCGTGATTTTGGAAATTATATCAGCTTATACAGCTCCAAAATAAAAACACAGTAAATGCAACTTAAGCAAAATTGTCAAGGGTTAAGAATTTTAATATTATTACTGGCTTAACAATTCTACTTGGAGTATTGATAACAATAAACAAAAAGTACACAACTAAAAAAAATATATTATTGCACCCTTGGGGCAAAACTTTAAAGTCGAATTTTGGCAAAACGAGAGAAGCTCATGTTACAGTAAATATTAAGGCCTGAGAAACTGTATAATCGTTAAAATTCGAGAAGGAAATCATTTCCTCTTAATTGCAATCTTCCTTTTTAGACATCTTGAAAATGTACAGTCAACATTTCAATAATTCTACTCGTTAACTTTGTTAATTGTTTATTTCTTTTTTTTTCTTAACTAAAAATGTAGCTTATTTTGGAATGTTCTTGTAGGTTTAATTTTATATTTTAATATAATAACTTTTGTATGCCGAAGCTGATTTTAAAGAACAGATATAACTAGTTATCTTTTTAAAAATTGTATATATTTTAGGCAGCCTGGCTTCCTCTTCTGCAAAAAAAAAATCTTTAAATTTTTGTATGCTGAAGTTGATTTGGAAGTACAGATATGACAAGTTTTTTTTTATTGTACATGTTTCTAAATAGCCTCTTTAGCATACAAAAATCTTTATATTTTTGAATACTGAAACTACTTGAAAGAACAGATGCAACAGTTGTTTTTTAAAAATTGTATATATTTTGAAAGATCCTTGATTTCTTTTTTTTATCTATTATAACGTATTTATATGTTAAATTAAAAAAAAAAAAAATAAAATGGTTGTATTTGTTGTATAAAACAACAAATCGACATATTTCTACTTGCCTATTTTTAAACTTGAATAACTTATAAATCATGTATACTGAATTTGACAAAATGTGAGCACAATACAAAAAAAGTAACTCAAAAAATTGTTTTTGTACCAAAAGTTTACACTTTAAAATCACAATCATGAAAAGTTGTGCTTTTGACTTATATCCAGTTTTGCCCTGAGGGTGCAGATTTAATACGCAATTATTAAATACTAATAATGTACACACAAAAAATATATTTTCTTCTATTACTATAATAGTCCTTTCATAAAAAAAGACTACCCCTCCCAAAGAAATATTAATTCTTACAGAAGTATTACCGGCATCATACGGCTGCTCATATGATCAGTGTAATTAACAGGGGATGTTATCGATATTATTTAATAATCTTATGGGTTAAGAATAAGGCTTCGGTTCCATAGAGTACTCCAGGACAGAGGTATGCAAAAAAATTCATCTAAGGACCATTGTAGAAACTAACAGCAGAACTACTAAACCTAGGACTCGTTAAGCCTAGAATGATAGTACTGCTGACTATGGAGGCATATGAATATAATCAGAGCAGCAGATATAGCGAGAAAGAAGAAGAAACAATGGAACATATCCTCTGTTGGTGCGATAGCCTATAAAGGTTGAGATTTCTCCAGGAGAATAAAAGACAATGCAAGACCTGAAGGAATAAGACAGCCCTTAAGAAATCTTTTGAGTATGATAGCCTTAATTTTAATAAAGAGCTCTAGATAATAATGGAGATTTAACAATAGGCATATATTGGTCGTGGTGCTTAATTTTGTAAAGAGGCCGACTCATTTTTTTTTTAGAATTAAACTAATTTTATACATAGAAAGTTGAGATTTAAAGTTAGTCACAGAAAGAAGTCGAACGCACTTTTGAATAAATACACCGACGTATCGTGATATTCAATCCGTCGAGATACCAACTCCTCATCTCTTTTTAAGTTTATGCTATTACTTGCACAATTGGATAAAAAAATTCAATATATTATTGAGAAAAAGTTAAAATTTTTGTACCAGTACAATACACATACATACTTGACTTAAGCTTGTTGGTCAATTTTGTTTTGTTAAAATGAACTACGGGACAAATTACAATGACCCTGAGATTAAAACCAATTACTCATGCAATATTTCCATCTCTATGCATTATACTTAAAAAAAAAAATCATTGAAATAAAATTAATTATGGTTATTGCCTTTCAATAATAAGTTGAAACATGATGAGTATACTTCTAAACAAATATTATTAGCTATTTAATTAGTAATTACATTTATAAGTACAATAAATGTTAATTAAAAAAAACATTTAACCAAAGAAGCATTAATAATCAAATTGTTAGTGCTAATTACATTCTAAAAGATAATTTTTTTTTATATCAAAAGTGTACTGTCTTTAAAAAGATATAGATTTGCGTCATTTAAAAGGAGTAAAATATAAAACGAACTTACCCTTTTCTGTTTTTTCTATATAAGTTACTAATGCTCGAAGCAGAAATTTTGTACTTATTCTCAATCTGCAAAAAGAGGAAAACAAAATTAATATTTCCTTTTTGACAATCGAGAATTATCCAGTTAATGAAGAAATGACTGAACAAAGGGGGACGAAAAAACAAATCACTAAAGTGCATCACGTTTTTTTTTTTTTTAAATCTTGTATTTAAGTTAAACTCAAATTCAATTTGGGCATTAAAAAAAAATATTAAGACTCGAACTTTCATTAATTTCATGAAGCCCTAGAATTCGTCTAAACGTTTCTAATTCCCTAATAAATGTTAGTTCAAAATGCCATGCACAGTAAAAGCGTAAAGCATCACACCTCAACTTACCGTAACTGAAGGAAAATGGAAACATTCTAAAATAGAAGTAAGTTTAGTTTAGGACCCTGCACCAGTTAGTAAATTCACCCGTCTACTTTTCATATCCCAGGTCTCTTAATATCCAAATATTATTAAAATCAATACATAAAATGTTTATAATTATGTATAATTCATGTACATTTAAACAAACATATCAGATTTATTGCTTCGTTACAAAGAAAAAAGCCAACAGACAAGCATGTGCAAAAACAAACACACACACACATTTATTATATTTTTTCTTTTTAAATTTTAGTGATAGAATTTCTAATTTTTTAGATTTTTAATATTCTCATTCAATTTAATAGAAAAATATTTTTTTTTTACATTTGATATTAGTTTTCAGTTAAATAGGGCATCAATTTTGTTGTTGTTTGGAAACTACTTAATGATCATTGTATTCTGACAGTTTTTTGCTTGACGAAATAGATATTCTGCAGTTTGATCCTTACGATCTTGGTCTGCCTATTCTCAAGGTTAGACGTGTTTTGGCATTTCGCCGTATCCGGCGAGGAAAGGCAGCTCAGGATTGGTAAGGATCAAACTGCACATCACTCCATAGACCACAGGAGAAAATCTCACGAATAAATTATTTGTGAATACAATTTTTTGTGTGCACAAAACAATTTAATTTGGCCACTTAATTTTAAACAAATTCATTGTTTCATTTTATTGTAGATTTGAGGCAAAAATAAGAAAACAATTAACAACTCTTTCTTATAATTTATGTGTGAAATATAGAATATCTGTGCTTTTATTTTAGTTGTTAAAGAAAGATTGTATTTACAGATTGAAACGTTTATGGTGTGCAAAAGAAATTTCGAGATAAAAAAAATGTTCATGCAAAGAGTAAGAAACAATATTACATAATTAATCGAACTGTGTAATAAATTTTACCTTAAAATAAATAAAAAATTTGAATGTTTCATAAAAACTTCCAAAGAAATCAAGTGAATCAGCAATGTTAAATTTTTCTTTTAAATAGCACCATACAGTTAAAGAAGTGTAATTAGTAAGTGATTCAGTTGATAGATTGTGCGCAGTTACTGTCATAGAAGAAAGTGTTATTTGTCAGGTTTTTGCTTTTATTAAACTTTTGTTTCAAATTTTTGATAATATAATAATTTTATAGAAGAGATAATGACGTTAATATTAAAAGCTAAGTACTTCTGATGAAAAGCTTATTTTCTAATTATTTTCTTATTATCTTTCGTTTGTCTTGTTCAAAACATTTGTAAATTAAAGCAGTATAAAAATCAAAAATTCAGACGGAGTAAAATTTCTGTTGGCTAAAGTCTGCCTCAATTTAGATAAAATTTAATTCATTTTAAATATTTACTCCAGATATTTAGAGGATATTTCATGTGCAATCATTTACATGCAATACTTCTCCAAAAATAAATTAACCAACCATGATATAGCTAAATATAGTTTTTAATTCACACAGATAAGTGATAAAAAAATCATATTGCTTACTAAGTTGTAATACTATTTTAAGTATTACTTATGCTAAAGATGCTTAAGAAAAAAAAATAGTTTTGGAATTTCAACCAATATGGTCTGCCTATCCTTGCAGTTTTGTATTTTGGAAATATATGTAGGAAAATAGCAAACATAGACTAGGATGATTGGTACTGTACAAACCAGCAAGCCTGAACAAGAAATCTTACAATTTAAAAGACAAAAAGGCTAGCTATAACTAAGGAAAATATCAGTTTTTACTGATATCATCCTTTACTCTTATTAATTTTTTTAGGTTCCTCGTTGAAACATTACCTCAAAAGATCATAAGATGTGAAAATATCTAACACTTACTGCATTTAATAGGCCGGTAGTTGTTGGTGGAACGACATGAAGAGGCGTGTATACATCCTCAGATTCCTGTCTCACATACAGCATAACTCGTTCGTTCAGCGGTGGAACAATTTTTGGCCTCTTTAATGGTGGTGTAGAGAAAACTGTCCCATCAGTTGTTAACGGCTCTTCTTTTTTATCGCTGCAAAAACAACGTAAAAAAATAAATGTATTTTTATTAATAGATAATTTCCTGGGTCATGTGCATGTCTGATAAACTCACCTAAGTGGATCTGGAGGAAAGTGATTGTGGAACTTGAGAGTTTGTGTTGGGACAGTTCCAGGTTTCCCAGATACTGAGTGTAGAAGAAATGGTGTACTGTGTTTCATTGGTCCAGCTTCTCCATTTGATAAACTGTAAAATTAAAGTAAACACTCTTTACATTTATGTAGGAGATTTTTGAAGTGTTGCATTTTTTTTTTTAATAGTTGATAACAATGGATAGTGAACCAAGTATGTTATGATTTGAAATCAAAAACATGCACATACCCAGTTTTTTAATAATATGATAATTAAATATACCTTGAAGTATCAGTTTCATGGCCATAAAATCCTTGAAGTTCCATTGACGTCAACTGTAAAATATTTATACATAAATTCACACTGGCCAATATATAATATTTCGATTATTTATAATTTGAAGTACTTTATCAATATCTTCGGCAGGCGTGAAAAGAACTGGAGGCTTGGTGAGGTCCGCCATACTGTAGAATTCCGACTTTTCACAAGCTGGATGGTACAGTTCTTCAATTTTTTTTCTTCCCGTTGCAGCCATTTTTCTCTTAGCTGCTCTCCGTTCTTCATCTCTTGTTTTTCTTTCAGCACCCTGAATCAGAAAAGATAAAAAAATTGTTGTTTCGTTATTGAATAAAATCCAATTAATCCGTACATACCTTATCACAGAATACTTTAATTTGACAATATCCACGATGGATGACAGGTCCTTCTCTAGGATCTTCATAGGTGTCGATTTGTATGTGAAGTGGCAGTCCCTGGAAAATCGGAAATATAAAAAAATCTGTTTTTTGAATTTAAGTAATGTGTTTATAATAAAATATAAAACGTACCTTGACACCTTTTTGACTACTGAAATCTGTGCTTAAGCACTGGACAGCAATGTTCAACTGTAATATTAACAGAAAAAATATTCAATTATAATTGTAAAAACATTAAGAAATGATTCTGCAGTAACATGGTTCAAAATGTAACCATAATTCACTATTTTAATAATAAAAAACAAACGTACTTTTGCTGAGCTTTCCAGTGGATTCCAATACACTGCAATCGCATTATGGGCCACTTCTTCAATGCAGCCTATAAATCCAACACTGTTTTTGGTATCTAAAAAAAAATTAACATGTAAATAATTGAATGACAAAGTTATGTTTTAATTTAAGAAAAGAAATCCTCCAACACCATTATTGTCAACACCGTCACCAAACAAATCTTTTATTGTAATTGCTTTGAAAAAAAAAACAAAAAAAAAAACAGGAAAAATGGACAATATGAAAAATATATAGATATATATACATAAATGAATCTTTTGAAAAGAAATCCTACAAACAGAATAAGAAGGAAGGAGGACCTTGAGGTGAGAGAAACAAGTAAGTGCTTTTCCTTTGCAGTTGGTGCGTCCAATGCTTGCTGTAGTTGGTACATAAACCGCTACCATGTGCAGTTTGCTACAATGTGGTAATTGTCTTGCATTAATGTAATATTCCGTACTTATCTTGATGTTTTCCCTTCCAGTCTTAGCTGTGTGAGGTCAAAGAATCAGGTAGGCACACTTCTTTATATTTACCTTCTGTATAACGTGTTGATGAGATGGAACCTATAGGTATATAATTTGTTAGCTTATATAATTTTTTATGCCGTTTCAAGACTAACTCTTACTATATGTTCTGTTTTAGTTGACTTATTAAATCTCGTAGTGAGAAACACAATTTGGTTATTAAAAAAAAAGACATATACAACTTTAATTTTTTTTTTAATAATAGAAAAAATACAGTCTAGAAGGTGAGAAGTTCATGAAATTGCAAAGATTTTTGGTATTTTATCCAATTATTACTCGCTGTACAAAATGGCTTTTTAAAATAAAACTGCTTGAAAAATAATAAGTAAATAAGTAAATCCGTTGTTTTATTTCACTTGAACACATTTCCCCTGAGGTTCTCCTTCCATCTAACCACGTTTAAACACACACATACTTAGCCATTACAGTCTAGAAGACAGAATTAGATGGTTAAAAAAATGAACGACAATTTTTGTTTTTTTAAAGAAAATTTTCGATTTCTTTATAAGAATCATTGCGGATCTCTTTACCTGCATCGAGTATCCTTTGTTTCACGCTGTGCTGCCTTCCGTGCCAAAATTGCCAAGCTTTTATTTCGTCTTCCGGGCTTTTCTCTTCCCTGAACATCAGCATTACAATACTCTGTCAAAACACAAAGATTCATTAATATATGATTAATTGATATGGAATTGTTCACAAATGCAAAAAATTATTTTGTTGATTATTCAGAAATCGTTATTTTGTTGAGATAAATTATAGAAGGCAAAAAATGAGATATACACTTTCTGACAAAATTACAGGTCTTTCATTTATTTTAAGCTAAATCTAGTGATCCAGGCTTCATATAGTCAATTTATCTCGCATAAAGTTTGAAATAACAAAACAATAACCAGCTTTGAAGCAAGCAATTTTATCCAGAAAAAAAAATCAAAAGGTGCATAGATTGTTCAATAATACACCATTGGTCCACAATAGAGGGCTCTATTTTTTCAAAAGTGAGAACAGAGGACTTAGAAGTGTTCTAATCAGGTGGGATCTACTCTCCAGTCCTTATACAGGCATAAAACATAAAAGGAAAAAAAAATCTTACCCAATCGTAAATGCAATCAAGTAGAGCCATTAACATATATTACATCACCCTACAAGCAATATGGTTAGTAATGGCCGATATGATGTTCAATATTGCACCATGAGCCCCCACACATTTATAAAATCAGGCTAATAAGTACATTCAAATGGAACGAGACATCAACTAGAAACCAACACATGACAGAGAGGGCTCTTTTCTTTAAAAAAAAATCAGAACAGAGGATGTAGAAGTGTCTGAATCTGGTGGCATTTACTCTCCTGGTACATACGGTGTTCAATATTTCACTCTTGGCCCTCACACTTATAAAATCAACCTGATAAGTACATTTGAATTGAAGGAGACATTAAATAGAAACTAATACACAACAGAGGACTTAGAAGTGTTCTAATCGAGTGGCATCTACTCTCCTGTACTTATACAGGCATAAAACATAAAAGGAAAAACAAATCTTACTCAATTGTAAATGCAATCAAGTAGAGCCATTAACTTATATGACATCACCCTACAAGCTATATATCTAAGCTTAGTTTGGGTCCATACTGTGTTCGTTATTTCACTTTCGGCCCTCACACATTTATAAAATCATGCTAATAAGTACATTCGAGTGGAACGAGACATCAACTAGAAACCAACACACAACAGAGAGGGCTCTTTTTTTCAAAAAAATCAAAACAGAGGACATAGAAGTGTCCGAGTCTGGTGGGATCTACTCTCCTGCCCTTATACAGGCATAAAATACAAAAGGAAAAAAAATTACTCATTCTTAAATACAATCAGTAGTCATTAACTTATATTACATAACCCTCTAGGCTATATGTCTATGCTTAGTAATATGATGTTCAATATTGCAACATCAGCCCTCACACATTTATAAAATCATGCTAAGTACAATCGAATTGAACGAGACATTCACTAGAAACCGATACACAACAGAGAGTGTTCGTTTCTTCAAAAAATCAGAACAGAGGACTTAGAAGTGTCCGAATCTGGTACACTCCTTCCCTATGCAGGTCTAAAACTTAAAAAGGAAAAAAATTTACTCATTCGTAACTGCAATCAAGTAGGGTCATTAATGCATGTTACATCACTCTACAAGCTACATATCCAAGCTTAGTTTGGGCCCATACAGTGTTCAATATTACACTTTCGGCCCTCACACTTATAAAATCACGCTAATAAGTACATTCGAATTGCATGAGACATTAACTAGAAACCAATACACAACAGAAAGGGCTCTTTTCTTCAAGAAAATCAGAACAGGACTTAGAAATGGTCGAATCTGGTGGCATATACACTCCTTCCCTATGCAGGCCTAAAACTCAAAAGGGAAAATAATTTACTCATTCGTAACTGCAATCAAGTAAGGTCATTAATGTATGTTACTTCACTCTACAAGCTATATATCTAAGCATAGTTTGGGCCCATACAGTATTCAATATCACCCCATCTGCCCTCACACACTTATACAATCACGCTAATAAATACATTCAATTTGAACATAACAAACAAACAGAACAGAGGACTTTGATGTGTTCTAATCTGGTGGCATCTACTCTGCTGTCCTTACACAGGCATAAAACTTGAAAGGAAAAAAAAACTTATTCGTAAATGCAATCAAGTAGACCCATTAACGTATATTACATCACCCTATAAACTATATGTCTTAGCTTGGAGTGGCTCCATACGGTGTTCAATATTGCCCTTTCGGACCTCATACTTATAAAATCATGGTAATAAGTACATTCAATTTGAACGAGACATTAACTAGAAACCAATGCTCTTTTCTTCGAGAGAAGGCTCTTTTCTTCGAGAGAAGGCTCTTTTCTTCAAAAAATCAAAACAGAGGACTTAGAAGTGTCCGAGTCTGGTGGCATATACACTCCTTCCCTATGCAGGTCTAAAACTTAAAAAGGAAAAAATTTTACTCATTCGTAACTGCAATCAAGTAAGGTCATTAATGTATGTTACTTCACTCTACAAGCTATATATCTAAGCTTAGTGTGGGTCCATACGGTGTTCAATATTGCCCTTTCGGACCTTACACTTATAAAATCATGGTAATAAGTACATTCAATTTGAACGAGACATTAACTAGAAACCAATGCTCTTTTCTTCAAAAAATCAAAACAGAGGACTTAGAAGTGTCCGAGTCTGGTGGCATCTATGCTCTCTCTCTCTCTCTCTCTCTCTCTCTCTCTCTCTCTCTCTCGATACACATGGTTAAAACTTACAAACAAATTATTGATTAACAAAACGAGATTTATTGATTGTTTTTGTCTATCGGGGACTTGATATTCTTGATGGAACGTCCTTGAATGAAAATGATAAAAAATATTAATCGTCTTTTTTCCTTCTAATTCTTTGCGAAGGCGATGGGGAAAAACTAGTGGAAGGAAATAAGATATAGAGAAAAAACCCAGATCCGCTAATCCTCTTGGAAAAAAGGAATGGTTCTTTGAATTAATTAAGGGAGACGGTAGACTCTGATTGTTATTCCAAGCCGGCAAAGCGACGATGTTATTACGACCGATACGTGCTCTGGCTACAAATCATTTTAATCAACGGCGCGAGTTGACTCTTTTATTTTCTTTCGAGTCAGAAAATAATTGGATGATTGATCTCGGTCTAACGGGGAGGAGCAGCAGCCGGTAGAAACGGCTTGTTGAATATAATCAGAGGCAGCGAAGGGCAAGAAACCGAGCAGGAGCCAAAAGAGAAGTGCCAGGACACAGCGCAAACTCTCCATGTCCGAGAGTCTGTATTTCTTGAACTATTAGTTTCTAATCTCAGTTAATTACTTATTCATAGAGGGACAGCTCCTTGGGCTACAATTAAGATAATTCACTCGAGGTAAAGTAGTAATTAAGGGTCGTACAAGCACCCAGGTATCTACTACAGATTACACACTATAACTCAAGTTTCATATTATACATGTATTTCGTAATAGAGGGAGAAAAATAGAGCCCGGAAAGGAAAAAAGGAGGAAAAAACAAAAACGCACGATTCACGAAAGGACAGGGGATCTCTTTTTAATGGCACCTCCGGGGAATCCAATCAGATATAATATTTTACCATCCGCTACGATTATGTTAAGTAGACGTCGAAACGGAATGAGAGTATAAATAACCTTGACAGAGTGGAAATGGAATGTTTTCTACAGCGAGGAATTAAAAAAAAGGCATTCTTATAAATCCCAAAAGTGTAGCAAAGGGGAAAACGGCTTAGGAGCTGTAAGGATACGAAAAAGCTCTACAAGCTTTTCTCATTCGAGAAAGGACTTGCATTCCCTGTTTCCACGACTCGTCTCTCCTTTTAAACGGTTAAGTTTTTTGATCAAGAAAGTTTTAATTATCAACCACCAGAAGATTATACAGAAATCACTCCCTATTTTACACGGTAACAATTTCTTAGATCGAAGTCTTGTTCAAACCGACATTTTTCAGTAGGTGGGCGAGGAAAGTTACTTGTAAATTTTGAAACATGAAACATAGACAAGGAAATACCGGTTGTTTTGTAGTTTGTTGGGGTTAGAGACAGATTAGGTTAGGTTAGGTATGGTTAGGTAAGGTAGTCATGATCGAAGTCTTGTTCGAACATATTTTTCGATAGGTGCACCGACAAAGTTACGTGTAAGTTTTGAAACACGACAGAGACAAGAGAATACCAGTTGTTCTACTTTCTAGTTTTTTAGGGTTAGAGTCGGGTTGGGTTGGGTTAGGTTAGGTTAGGCTTGGTAGGATTAGGGTTTGGTTATATATCTATGATCCACAGAAACCATGTCCCTATTTTACACGGCAACATTTATCGTTCGAAGTCTTGTTCGAACATATTTTCGATAGGTGCACCGGGAAAGTTACCTGTAAGTTTTGAAACTCGACAGAGACAAGGGTATACCAGTTGTTTTTCTTTCCAGTTTGTTAGTGCAGAGACAGGTTAGAGATAAGTTTAGGTTATGTATATCCATGATCCATAGAAACCGTGATTTTATATAGTAGCGTTTTTTAGATCAGTCTTCTTCAAATATTTTTCGGCAGGTAAGTCAGGAAAGTAACACGTCTCAGATTCAAGAGAATATGAGTTGATTTGGTTTCTAGTTGGTCATTTCTATTTCCAATTTTTCCCTCTTCCATATTTTTCAAACTACCCAAAAATTAGGCAGCGTACAAAGATTGGCAAATCTATGTATCAGAATCGGGAATTAAAAAAAATTCATCAAAAGCCGTATAAACATCAAACCTACATCCAGTGGAACCATTTAGGAAAAAGGATTAGTTCATTCAGATTCCAAAACCTTGGAAAGCACAACAATCTGACAATAAATTTGGGCTAGGACACAAGTTTGTAACTAATATTAGTTCTAGATAATGAAAAAACAAAAAACTAGCTAGAGGAACTTCAAGTCTTTTAAGCTAAGAAACTGTACTTGGGATAACAAGATCAAAAATAGACTCCTCCATCTCAGAATGGGTCCATACAAAACAAAGGGAGAAGTGGATGACCTTTAGAAGCCAGACACACTGCTATATTTAGACATGGACAAACTAGAGGGGTGATAGGAAAGTTACTGGTATCTCAGAAAACACCGAAACAATATGGATATATTAATTGATAACCTTATTTGTAGGTTATGAAATGAGGAAGAAGTGATGATGATCGGATGCGAAGCAATGTAGGCATAACCTAGAGTACCAAGATGACCCGGGAAAAAGGTACTAGGAAAAGTATAATAAGCCAGAAAGCTGCAGTGCTTGGGAAATACAAAACCTCCTTTTCCTTGCATTCCATCATCATCCCCATTTTATAAAAAGGACCGGAAAAAGTCATTGATGTTAGCTGCGGAATGGATAGCTGGAGATGGTTTATTTATGTTCAGTTTGAGCCAAAATATGGATCTAGGAGTTTTGAATATGTTGCAATATGTGCTAAAGGACCTGTGTCATCATTTTGAATTCTTTTGATAACGTCAACGCATTGAGGGAGTAATTTTTAATTGTAAAATGTATTGTATTTTGGGCATCTGCCCGTTTAAATAAATAAATAAAGAGAAGAGTAAGAGCATCGCCCGCAGTTCGCGTCTTACAGAGGGGGGTGTTTTGTATCGTATTTTTACATTTATAACCTTTTATAATTTTAAAACTTGATCTTAAATCATCTTAATATGGTACTTAGGTAACAATAATATCGAAAACCTCAAACAAGTACTTAAACCAAAGGATCAATACTGGCTAACTTAACTTTGATGGATGTTTATTGTTTCCTAGATGATTCTTTGATCAAATTTACAACATGTTATTTATTTTTGGCCGTGTAAACGGGATATAAGTTGGCAATAAAAAAAACAAAAAAAACCCTTGAATGTTAGTCGTAACTGAACGTCTGACTATCCTCGCTGGGTTTAAGTAATGTGCTGTGTTTTGCAGTTTGCTGACTGGCTTGTAGTTTGTCTGTTCTTATGGGCATGTTTATTTATGTATTTTTGATAGTGTTGTGTCTTGTCAGTTTGTATGTAAAACAAATTTTTTAAAGGGATTTCCGCATTTCCATCTTTCCGGTGTTCTTTTTGTAGACTCATTGTCAATGTGACAACCGTTCCCAATGGATTTTGAATTGCTGTGATTTTATTTTTTTGCAATAGGTGTTTTCTAATTAATCTTGTCTTACCTTGACAGTTTGAGCTTTCAACGGCCTGTCCGGATCCGGTATGTATTCCATCGTGATCCCGTAAAACTGGCCTTTATTTATGTAAGTGACGCGGTCGTCCTCCCTCCTCTGGTTGGTTGAAATCGGCGTCTCAAGATGATACTTAAAACCGTATTGACAGTAGCTGGAAAGGTAAAAAAGAAGGAAATTTAGCCTTTTTTTAAGATGCGCAAAAAGAAAATCTAAAGTGACAAATTGGTACTAAATGTTTACATTTAAACATTTGCCACGGTGGCGGTTCTGTGTTCGAATCCCAGCATAGCCCATGGCTTATTAATGGAGAATAAAACAAAAAATTATTATAAAGTGGTATATACTTTACTTTTTGCTTGATGTGCTTTTTGAAAAAAACGATAAATTTTTTATTGTAATAATTTTGTAAAGAAAACTTTGTACACATCCGCATTATTCTTTGGATAATAATGTAATTTATTTGTACTTTGTATTGAAATCATAGGCGACTCATGGAAACGTAACGCCTGCCTACGAACAATGTTTACCTTTTAAACGTATGAATTATGCATTTTTTGCGTGCAAAATGTATGTATAAATCATGGAAAAATTTATGCATCTGTCCATTTATATCAATAATGCGATGGGAATAAAATATCCTTTGAAGGTCTTCTGTCCGAAGATGTAATATGTTACCAATGTTAGGAGGTTGGAACACGTGTTTCGAAACGTTTAGTGTCTCACACTACTAGTTTCGCATTACATCGGACGCATTTATCAAATTGTTTCTCCTGCTTTCCTTTGGTCTCGAATAAACCGACAAGCGAACGATTCGTATGGAAAATTATGTAAAAGAGAGCGAAACGATGTGATTGCTTGGTATTTCTGCTGACTCGTGGTTTCGAACGTAAAGACTAACCGATGGGATTTGCATATTGACGCTTTCATCGCCCTTTTCCGCACTATATTTGACGTTTTCTGGTCAAATTTCTTATTAAGGTCTAATGATTTTCTTTGACTGTAGTCTGTAGTTTGGCCGTTTCCGTATAGATTTCGTCTGCCTTGTTTCATTTTGACTCTGAGTACCTTTTGTTACAAATTTTTCTTTTGAGAAGAAGAAGAGAAATAACAGACTAACCAAACACTTAAGATGGATAAAAATGCTGAAACAATTTCTGACATTCTGGAAGACAAAAACAGCGAGGGTAGGCGGACGAATCGCATATTTTCTCTACCTCACAGAAAAAAGGAATGTAATCTAACCGTTCCTAACAATAACACTGATCCTAACCCTACTTAACTAAACCGTCCCTAACTCTAACCCTACTTATCTTAACATAACCTAACCATTCCTTACGTAACCTGCAATCTCCACAAATGTAAGTATAATTGTTTATTTTACATATTTTTCCTAGAGTATAAAGCAGCATACTATATGCTATATATAATTATATAGATCGAAAAGAAACTATTAATTACAAAGGAAAAATACTTCTTTTAATAGGACATTGAAGAATGCTTATATTTTCTTAAGTTTTATTTAAATTTACTAACCACTGATCGTATTTTATACTAACATTTTTCACTCGCTTACTTTCTTTCCTTCGATAGAAACCTAACCTAAACCGTCCCTAACTATAACTCAAACCTAACCCTACCTAACCTAACATACCATAACCTTTCCTCATCTAACCTAACACGCATTCCCTAAAAATATAAGTGCACGTGTTTATTTTACACGTTTTTGCTAAGGTTTATATACAGACCGTCAAAAATATCAATTAAATTAAAAAGAAAAAGAAAATCTTTTAATAGGATGTTGAAGGTTCTGGACACTTGCACATTTTCTTTCCTTCGTCGAAAAACAATTAATGCAGGTACTGGACATGTAACCTAACCTGTCTTTAACAGTAACCCTAATCCGAACACATCTCAACTAACCCGTCCCTAACTCTTACCCAAACCTAACCCTACCTAACCTAACATGCCCTAAACATTACTTACCTGCCCAAACCATGCGCAATTACAGGACAAAAAAGTATCCAGCCCAAAAACATATCTATGTTAAATGAGAGGAAACGACCAAGCTACAGGTTTATCATCTCGCAGGCCCCAGGAAATCTCACAACTGTCGAATATTGAGAAACAATCGTTTTTACAACTGAAATTAATGGAATATACAAGTCTAATGAATATTAATAATTCCTGTGGGATTCTTGGGTTCGTTTCTCGAACTGATTAAAAAATTATTTAATTAAACATACAATCTTATCTAATAAATTTGAGGAAATCTTCCGTCAGGTGCGCACTATCAGACATAATTCGCTCTTCTTTTGTACTTAAGACAGGAATTACTATTTTCCAAGTTTAAAGGCTTGGGTAATTATTGCAATTAAATATAATATAGGGCAATTAAGATAAACTGTCTGAGAAATTTTCTACTTTTTGTACCATTGTTAGTTTGTATACGTCGTTCAGAATCTCAGAAAGAAATTGAAACTTGCTTAACTCGTCCCTAACCCTAACTAAACCCATGCGCATTCCCTGATAACGCAAAAAATCTGGTTCTGACCCAAACATTACATCCATGTGAAAATAACTACTTACACTTTGGGAATCTGAATCTTGTCAGCGTCGTTCTGCCTTCCGAAGTCATGCCACGGCCTGGACCTGGATCCGGTCGTGCCGGGGGAGGAATGGGTGGAACCGGCTCGTGCTTCGCCCAACAAGGGTGCCTGACACATATCAGAGTAGTCGAATGACTGAAAAGAAATTAATAACATGCACTTTTACATATAATAATTAAAGACATAGGCGGCGGGAAAGGAAGAGAAATGACAATCTCATCCAGTCGGTCGCCGGTCAAAACAACAATTCTTATTTGCGAATGAGCTTGTAAAATTTGGTTTGGAATTGTGTTCCTCCTCATCGCAGTTTGTTCTCGGAATATCACCAGAAAATGAAGGTTTTTTTTGAAGAGATGAATATCTGAGGGCAAACAGCGAGAACAGGCGGAACACAGGTAATAATAATCTTTAAATTGTTAACAAAAGGCTGAATGCTAATTGCTAAATTGAAAACGTTTTACAATCTCAAAACAAAAAGTCAAACTTGGTTGGAAAAAAGTTAAAAAATATAACGTATCAGGTTCTTGCCTCCATTCATCTTTACTGATGTGACATAATGAATTCGAAATGGAGGATGGTAGAATCTGTAGAAATCATGTAGAAAAAAAATCGTCCGAAGAATGAGACGTGGTTGCGAAACTGCTATGCAGCTGTTCAACCCTTCCGGAAAGGGGTCAAACTTGTCTTAGGGATGAAATTCAATGGTAAAGGGGTCGGCACTGATTGATCATCATTAATTAACATCTTCTGTATTATATAATTATCTGTTATTTGTTTAATATCAATGAATAGGAAGGGGCAGTTTTATCTTTTTTATCGGAACAGGAGCTTCTTAAGCAGGTATTGCTTATATTTCAATTTATAAGAAACCACGACTTCTTCAAGAAGCAGAAGAACGTAAAACAGGATGCAAAAGGTAGACGAAGATTTTCACCTCGCTCGAAACGATAAAACCTGGCTGAGTTATTAGCGAAGACCCGGGATAAAGATCTCCTAACCAGAAATTATCGAGAAGTGTCTTGGAAAAGGCCAGTGGCTGACATATAGGTCTTGCCATTATAAACAAAAAGTGGAGCTTGTCTTGTGCCTCCTCCTGCTTCCGTGTTCTCCGATCCACAAACCAGGTTGGCCCCGATCCTCGTTTGGGACAAACAAGACACAACGAGGTCGTGTTCAACATATCAATGAAACATTTAAATCACCTAGTTTTCTTTTATCGACATCTATCTTACACCAGCGAATAAATGATCCAAGTTTTTTTTTAAATTAGGCATTGCCTGTTGAACTTTTCGGTGTCTTCGGTTCATTAAGTATATTTTTTGTTTGTCCATTTTTCATCTTTTCCTCCTTCATCGTGGAGAAGTTTCATGCTTTTTTTTGTCACTTTTGAGGTTTCGTTGTGGTTGTCTGTGAGGTGAGCCGAGTAGTTTGATTCCCCTATATAATCTTTGTCTTTTATTTTCTCCTTTCCTTCTTCCTCGTGGTGTAGTTTCATACTTTTTTGTTATTTTTGTGGTTTTATCCTGGTTCCCTAAATAATCTTTGCAACTGACTTTTATTCTCCCTCCTTTCCTTCCTCCTCCGTCTTCTTGGAGTAGTTTCACGTTTTTGTATTATTTTTGAGGTTTCGTGGTGGTTTTCTATGAGGTGAGACATGTAGTTTGATTCCTCCAAATGATATTTGTAACGGTCGTTTATTTTCCTTCTTCCTACTGGAGTAGTTTCACGATTTTGTATTATTTTTGAGGTTTCATGGGGTTTTTCTATGAGGTGATCAATGTAGTTTAATTTCCCCTAAATAATCTTTGAAGCTGTCTTTTATTTTCCATCCTTTCTTTTCTCCTCTTGGAATAGTTACTTTTTTATTTTTAAGGTTTCGTAGTGGTTTTTTAGGAGGTGAGCCATGTAGTTTGATTCCTCTAAATAATCTTTATAACAGTCTTTTATTTTCCATCTTTTCCTTCCTCCTCATGGAAGAATAGTTACATTTTTTGTTGTTATTTTTTAGTTTTCTCGGTGGATTTTTAAGAGGTGAGCCGTGTAGTTTGATTTCGCTTAAACAATCTTGTAACTGTCTGTTATTTTTCTTTCATTTCTTCTTCCTCGTAGAGTAGTTCCACTATTTTTTTTGGTTTTGAGGTTTCATGGTTGTTTTTTAAGAGGAGAGTTGCGTCATTTGATTTTCCCTAAATAATCTTTGTAACTGTCTTTTATTTTCCCTCCTTTCCTTCCTCCTCATGGAGTAGTTACATTTTTGTCAATTTTAAGGTTTCGTGGTGGTTCCCTAAATAATCTTTGTAACTGTCTTTTATTTTCCCTCCTTTCCTTCCTCCTCATGGAGTAGTTACATTTTTTGTTAATTTTGAGGTTTCGTGGTGCTTTTTTAAGAGGAGAGTTGCGTAGTTTGATTTTCCCTAAATAATCTTGTAGCTATCTTTTATTTTTCGTCCTTTCCTTATTCCTCGTGGAGTAGCTTCATGATTTTTTTGTGATTTTTGAGGTTTCCTGGTTTGTGACGCTTCCTTTCTTTGCTGTGCGTGTAAATATAGTTTTTGGTCTTGTTTTGTTTATTTTTTTTAACGAGGGTTCGCAATATCAGAGGTTATATCAACCCTCGGGTTGCCGGTGTTTTTGGAAAAAAAAGCCCATTTGTAAGTATGTCGGGTTCGAATGCAGCAGCCCTGCATTCGAACCCGGGACCTTTACCTTACAGTGATGAGCGCCGAGCAACGCCTGCGGCCATCGACGCCCCCTTGTCTTCTTTATTATTTTGCCGATTGTGTGTATCCTGTATTGGGTGTTTCGTGTAGTTTGTTTTCTGTACTGTTTTTTATCATGATTGTAGTGTATTTTAGTGTTTCCAATCTCGTTGGGGGCGTGAGTCAGTTTTTGAATTCACCACGGAGAAATCTGACAATTTAACTTTTCCTGTCCTTTGTTAAACGATTTTCTCTATAGATTTTACTCAGCCAGTTTAAATTGGCGCGTTCACGATTTTGAGGGGTTAATAAAATCTGTGGTTCCAGTGGAAAAGTGGGTTAAGTCAAAAATTGTGAAAATCGAGTTAGGTAGATGAGAAAATAACTTCAGGAAGTTTATTTTGAGGGAATTAGAAAAGCATATTCTTGGGAGATGTTATCCGAGACTCGATTTTGGAGGGAAAACGTTGACTTTGAACCCAATTTTCAGTGCAACCACAGAAATACAAACAAATAGCAATCATCCTTGTCAACTGTGTTAAGAAGATGTATGAAGTCAAAACTAAACTGTTCTTACCTGCTGTATAGCTGTCTGATCTCTGGGCGTAATGGCATCGGCTCCGATACCGCTGTCGGGTGACGGCAGATCGACGGTGAGTCCTGCTGCAGCGATCACCCCTTTGTTGTGGTACGAACTGCTTTGTCGGACGTACCTCTCTACAAAAGAAGCTGTCGCTGCGTTGGGCCCGCTACCGTCGCTCCCGTCCGCGAACGACGGCACCTGCCTCACTTGTGCCGCGTAGGGCGATTGTTCCGCGAAATATTCCCTGTAGTAGGGATCGGAGAAGGCGGCAGCCGAGGATCTCCCTGCGGACGCGGTTATGTAGCCGGAGGTGCTCTGGGAGCCGGCATATTGAGCGTGCTCCGAATATGGTATCGGGGAGGGCGAGCCGCTGCCCCCGTGGGCTTGAGCGTTGGACATGGCTGTGAAAATATGAGTGCCGTAATTGATTCCTGACTTGAGACTCTCACCGGAAATGATCTCTATCTGAGAATTGGGCCCGACATCCTGCGCCATGAGGGAGGAGGTCGAAGAAGGCGTCCCGTTCATCGATCTGTTCCCCTGCTGGGGTGAATGGATAAACTCGTCCTTTATAGACGGAGTATTGTTATTGTTTACGACATCTACGACGAGATCTTGGTGACTACCGGACGTCACTAAAACTACTTTGTGCCTTCCTTTATCGTGACTACTCTTCCTATGATGACTTAGGTCTTCCGGTTCCCTTTTGACCACGGTTTGACTCGAAGGGTGGTGCAGGAAGAGTCCCGGTATGTCGCCGAGAGGCTGTCCTCCGATCTCCAGACTTCCGGATCCGCCGACTCCGCCGTTGGAAGTTTTGAGCTGCGAAGAAAGTATGGCACTACCTCCACTCCCACCTCCGCCCGTTCTGAAACAAAAGAAAAAAAATCCAATTAAAAACAATACATCTTACATTATTTGAATCGTAATTGAAAGAGATTTTAAATTTATTTCTCCTTCGGAACAGACCGAGCTGGGTTTTTACGCATCTATAGAAACCCTGGGACCGGTTTCTCGATAGGAATTCATTCATTAAGATCGTATTACTGATATGTTTTTTCTAATTATGAACAGGGCGAGTGAGGATATGGACGGACGTGTTTCTCCCTAGATAACGTTTTATTGTCACAAGATTTTTCAAATTAAACGAGATTAGGGGTTATAAACTGGCCAAACTATTTTTGCGCTAGAAGAAAAACAAAAGAGAAAACCTTTTTTGAAATTCTCCAAAATTGTATGCTTCGACATCAATCATTGTTTAACAGAAAATTTTCATCTTTAAGCAATGTCAAAAAAAGATAATTCAACAGGATTTTTTTTTTAAATAATAAGAGAAGATATCTACTTCTCTTTGGGGAATTTTATGTCGGATGAAAACTTTCTATCCGTAATGCATCCTCTCGGGCTACCATCTCAAATTCCGATCTTTCCATTCCGAAACATGCCAGGAGACACAATCCCGGCTTTAATTAATAGCCACTTCCATTTTACTTGTAAAACGCGCCTCCATTTCGAGAAGAAGAAAGGCCGATAAAACTAAAAACTACGGCGGACGAGAGATGAAAACTTCATCCGCCCCTTCTCTGAATTAAAAAAAATAAATAAATAAAAAATCCAGCCGATAATTTATTCACAAGGATGGTGAAGTACCGGCGTAACTCCTTTTGGAGCCGGTTGATTTAGACATTTGAGAGAGAAAAAAAAATCCGAATCATAAATGTCACAACTGTATATTACAGGATGGGAATGAGGGAACAACCGTACTCGGTATTTCCAGTCACCCTTTTCCAGTAGGAACTCGAGAAACACCTTCCTCAACATTACAAGACGAATCCTGAAGAAAAAGATGTTGAAAATTTTCAATATTAAAGTCAATAAACCGCAGTTTTTGTTTTCTGTTACAAAATAGCCTGTAAACAAAAATTTCAACCAAACAATTAGGAATTATTAATCAAAAATTTGACTTGAAATCTTTGACTATTTTGTAGCTCTTTCCCGTCAAATTCACCTTTTTTTAACTCAAAATTAAACTTTTATTGATTTCAAATTAGCCACTTTTTATTTCCAATTAACCCTTTTTTAAAGCATTAAAAAACAGATGTAAAGTAAAATTACTATGCATTTGGGAATTTAAAAAATATAAAATGGGATCTCATACAAAATACTACATGAAAATCAATTATAATCCGAATTATTATTTCTTTTTATATTTAATTACATACAGTTTAATTTTCAATTGTTACTCATTTTAATGCAGTATTTTTTTATAAGGACCCATTTTATATTAAAAAAAGTCTCAAATTAAAAGAGGAATCCTTTATTTTTATATTTAATATTATATAATTTTTAATTGTAATTGTAATTACTTTTCATATAGTTTGTAAAAACCAATTTCATATTAAAAAAAAATTCAAATTAAAAAAATATTTTTTAATTTTTATATTTAATTTTATATAAAGTTTAAATTTAATTATAATTAATTTTAATATGGTCTTCTAAGAGCCCAATTATTTCATGTTTAAAAAAATTCAAGTTTTTAATATTTTTAATACTCTAAAGAAAGGGTTAATTCGAAATCAAAAAGGGTTAATTTGAAATTAAAAAGGGATGATTTGGTATGAAATAAGATTATTTTAAAATTAAAAAGGTTTAATTTGACGGGAAAAGCTATATATTTCATATAACTTTTCACAAATGATATTGTTTAGAAATTTGTCTTTAATGGTATCTAGCGAGGATCTGGGTTCTCTCTTCCGATTTTTGGATGAAAGAGGGTTGCTTTATTGTATATAGTGCGTGTGTTGAAAGTGAATGTATTCATTTGCGTGAATGTTTAGTGCGAGTGAATCCATGGCGGAATATGGAGTACCCCCACCGACCTTCAATTAGGTTAGTATATAACAGGTGTAAGGTGATGTAGGAATATCCAGCACTCCATCACCCCAATTGAATGAACGGTGTGTAAATAGGAAAGAATGTATTTAAGAATGAATGGATCTGGATCTAGGAACTGCGTTGGGCGCTGAATTGACCTAGCTGTTGACAGCACCCAGATTTGACCCGGGACTGCTAAAACCCGATGGTGGGTGATTCTCGAGGCCTGCAGGTTATTTATATTACAAAAACTGGAATTGACAGTGGACTGGGAGAAGTGATTGGCTCAACTCTGTGTGTACACGTGTGTGCAGATTGCTTATATAAATCCAAATTTTTAAACGGTGTAGACTTTTATGTTCAAATGGAATGTTTAACCCTTTCTTGCCCAAAGTTGCTTGCCAACTTGAGGAGTTTTGGTAAGGTTAACAGGAAATCCCATGAGTTTAGGGCGGGTGCTTTGATGTCCCTGTTCTGCTTCTTCTCGTGTATTGGCAACACTGATTTATTTGGCGCCAATATAACTCTGTTACCAAATTCATGGGATTTCCCTCTAAGACAACATTGGGCAGTAAAGGGTTAAATACCCTGATGAAAAGAGGCGCGAATATTTGGTGTAAATTTTTTGTTCAAATACTCAATAATAAAAATTTCTTATTCCTTTCCGTCTTTTATTTTCCATTTAAGTCTAAAAGGAAGGGGGATTTATTTTTTTATTATAAATTAGGCCGTACACGAATTTTCTCATTGGGTGATAAAACAAAGGAGGATTGAAAACATTTAAAAAAAAAAAATAAAAAAAATGAAAACAATGCCCTTTAATAATAATCGAATTCACCCGAGGAGCCGGACTCTCTCGATATTACAAAATTGACCAATTTATGTTATTAATTGGTTCGAGGTGGGTACGCAGCCGTCACTAATCATGCTCAGCTGGTAATAGCCGTACCCAGACGGTGCACTTTTAAAAATAGGAAATTACATATAATTTCTGTAATTTTTCTCCGCTAATTTTATTCAGATGTTTTGCCCTGTGGCCGGCTTTTGTCTTACAGCTCACGGCCCTGGATTAATAGGCGAAAACCGCTTTACAGGAAGCCGGGCACGGCCGAAATCCAGTCCGGGAGTTGAACGATAACTTCCGCTCGCTTTCAACCATTCTCGGTCAAATAGATCTGCGGACCACTTTCTGTAATTAAAACGTGATTTAATTGAAAGTGCATTAGTTCGAAACGGTAGGTGAAAAGGCTGGTGGATATTCACACAAAGTTTGTTGTTCTTCTGTTTTTGCATGTGACCATTCGTCTAATTTTTTTGTACTCGCCTAACGAAATAGGTGAACTTCGAAATTTCCTTTTTCTATCGTACCGTTAATATCTGTAACGTCTTTAAGTCGTACCGTATTTTTTTTTCCAAAATCCGAAAAACCGGTTTCTGTCCTCCATCGGAACCTGGTCTTTTACCCCATCTCTTCCTTTCATAACTTATTCTACTTTGGTCATTTTGTTCCAGTTTTAGTTTTCAATTGACGGGATTAAATTTGAATTTACGACGACTTGATTTTTTAAAATTACCAATTTATTTTGAAAAAAAAACACGAAAAAACTTGCGGTGCTCAACTGCTTCTAGCAATAGTGTGCAGTTATAATATAATAGAAATAAAGATCTATCATTCATCTAGAATTATCAAACCTTGGAAGATGGAGAGAGGACCCGGCCATTACTGGAACACAGTGTTAAGGAGGGTTGGCTATAGGGTCAGGAGGCCACTTGTTAAGTAGGGTGGAGGGTTTGTCAACGGTGGGAAAAAAAAAATTGCGCTAGTGGATTGCTTTGTGAGCAATGGACACACATTATCACGAGTATTGTCTAGGTCTTTATGGATAGTTGGTCAATGATGGAAGGATTACGAGGATTGGCTGAGCTCCACAGCTCAATTCCAGTCCAAATCAAAGCGTTTGTATTTTAGTTTGTTGGATTTAGACTCAAGTAGGCGTGTGAATTGTTTGAAACCGGTTCTTTTTAGACTAGTGCGTGGATTCCACGATTTTTTCCACTAACCATAGATGATTGCTGGCATGACTGCATCCAATGAGCACGGGGAACCTCTGATATGTAGGAGGCTCAACAGGCTTAAGACATGGCATGCCTGCACCCAATGAGTATGGAGAACCTCTGATAAGAATGGGCCTCAACTGGCTTAAGACGGACTCGTTGACAAGTTAAAAAGGACAAATCAAAAATGGATCTTTAATGAGTCCAAAACCTGGTGGAGCAACACCCCCGGGCATGAGGCAGGCGAAGAGATTCGTAGAAAGGCCATCCGCAAGACTTACAAAGGAATTACTTGAAGTAAACCGCATCAGAACCCGGACTCTGGTTCGACTCCTGACATGACACCCTAGGTAGGGTAGGAGTACAGACACTGCCAGGAAGAGGAGACGTTTTATATAGTGAGGGTATATGCAGATGCAGATTCTTGCTACTAGGTTAGGAAAAGCCACAAGAAAGATCTTACGCTAAGAGCCGTTGGCAAGGCTATGGAGGTTGGTTAACAACCTGAAGCTGGCCAGTAAGTAATCAAAATAGATGCACATTAGATCTACCCAGGTCGAGGTGCAAAAGGTGTTGTGGCCTCTTTTATTCCCTGTTCCTACCAGGTCCTCTCGAGAGTTCACATTCATCGCTCCAAGTAAAGCCCAAGGATGTGGATTTGAACTGTCGGCAATCACCTCTACAATAGTGCTTCCAAACAGCATCAACCCCGCTAATAAACAAGAGCTCAACTTGTTGACTTGTTCTAATGGAGCAAGCAGTGAACAGAAGCCGCTATCTTTACTAAAACAAGTACATAAACTAAAAGTCCAACAACTCACACTCATCGTTCTAAGTAAAACCAAGGTAGTAAGATTTGAACTGCTGGCTGTCAGCGCAACTTGGATATTGCTTTCACAATCATGCAGCTACTCTGATGAACAGGGGCTCAACAGGATT